TCAAGTTATGGCAATTTCCCTGGCCCCTCAGGACTCCTCCTTGATGGATGCGATCAGAAACAATCTTCAATCCGATGACCTCGCCAGCGACATTTTCCCCCATCTTCAGGCTGGACACCCAATGACTCCCGACTGCCAGCGATTTGACGAATTCGAGTTCTTAGATGGCTTGTTGTACTGTGGGGAGCAGCTTTACGTTCCTGAAGGTGATGCTTGAAGGTTGGTCCTGATGGCGTGCCACGATAGCCCGACTGTTGGTCACTTCGGCATCGCAAAGACCTATGAGCTGGTTGCACGGGACTTTTGGTGGCCTCACATGAATGATTACATCAAAACTTTTGTTACCTCCTGTGACACTTGCACCCGAAATAAAGTACCTCGCCACCTTCCTTAATGTTTGCTTCGTTCCCTCCCGGTCCCTTCAGGTCCTTAGGAATCCATCTCCATGGATTTCTTGAGTGATCTTCCGAGTTCTGGAGGCTTCAACAGCATTTTAGTCGTGGTGGATCGCTTCACAAAGATGGTGCACTTCCTGCCGTGTACCAAGGAGTTTTCGAGCGAAGACATGGCAAAACTGGTATTCAGGGAAATTTTCCGACTTCATGGGATTCCTGCAGATGTGGTTTCGGATCGGGGACCTCAGTTCATCTCTCATTTCTGGCAACGGTTTTTGCAGCTGCTTGGAGTGAAGGCCAACCTCTCTTCGGCGTATCATCCTCAAACTGATAGACAATCCGAGCAAACAATTCAGACATTAGAACAATTCTTGAGGTGCTTCATCAACTATCATCAGGATGACTGGTTTGATATCCTTCCCCTTGCTGAGTTCTTCTATAACAACTCTGTTCACTCCTCTCTTCGAGTTTCCCCCTTCTTTGCAAACTTTGGCCGAAATCCCCGATTCAATCTCTCACTTCCTTCTCCATCCAAATCCTCTCATTCAAATCCCCGCTCTGAGACATTTGTCTCCAACCTCCAGGAAATCCACAACTCCATCTCCTTCCACCTCCATCGTGCTCAGGAATCTCACAAAACATTTGCCAATGCCCATTGTCAGGATTGTCCCCCTTACAATATTGGGGATAAAGTCTGGCTCCTCAGGTGAAATATCTCCACCACCAGGCTATGTCCCAAACTTAATTTCAAACATCTCGGTCCTTTCCCTATCATTACTATCATTAATCCTGTTACTTATCGCCTTGCACTTCCCTCCTCCTATCAAATTCACCCCATTTTTCACTCCTCTCTCCTTGAGCCTTATATTCCCAGTCCTATTCCAAATCGGGTCATTCCTCCGCCTCCACCAGTGCAGCTCGAGGATGGGTTTGAGTATGAGGTTCAGGACATCCTTGATTCCAAGATCTCACGGTCTAAACTCTACTATCTGGTCGACTGGAAGGGCTATGGACCTGAAGAACGCACTTAGGAACCTGCGGACAACCTAATTCATTCTCCTGACCTTGTTCAGAACTTCCACCACTGCTATCCTTGTTGTCCCAGTTCTCATTCTTTTTCTCCATCTCCCGTCCCTCGCTGCCCATCTCCTCCTCCTCTTCGTTCTTATTCACGCCCTCGTTCCACTTGTTCTTGAGGAGGGGGTGCTATCAGGAATCCCCCAATTCATACCACATTCCTGAATCTTGCTGGATTCCTGACCTGCAGACCACATTCTTGATTCTCGAGACACTTCCCTATTCCTGACTATCGAGACTTTTCCCTATTCTTGACTCTCTAATTTCCTGTACGATTCCTGAGTCTTGAGCCACATTTCTGATGATGATGTGGTGCCTCCTCAACCTCATCTATATTTAGGCTGTCCTCGATCCAAGAGTGGTGGAGCTTCATCAACCTATAGTATATATAGGTTAACTTTGTTCCATTTCTCCACAATCTAAATCAACACCAGTCCAAGGCCTCTTCTTTGTTTCTATTAGCTTTTCTCTTTGTCTTTTGCATTTTCCAGTCTTGATCTTGTTGGGGGTCTTGACATGTCTCTCTAATCCATGGCTTTCACCCACAATGAGTTTCTTCTCTTCTAGCTAGCATGCCTGTTATTGATTGGCCATCCAAACATCAATGTGATTTTTCCTACAACCATGGATACCAAGCCTCTCCCTGGCCTGAGATCAATCTCCCCTTTTTATTGCTTTATATATATAGAATATAGATTAGAATACTAAGATTTTAAGAAAACTAATACTTAACTCAGAAAAAAGTAAAATATGAATTGCTAAGAATAAATACTTTTTATAGATATTAGATGCAAAGTATAAGAAAAGGATATGAATATATATATTTTATATTTATATTTATATATATATATATATATATAAAATGTGTTTATAAATAAATATGTAACACTAAAATTTAAGAACATTAATATTACTCAGAGCCAGAGAAATGGCTCCTGGGTGTGCTGGAGGGTTTTGGAGTGGAATTGGTTCCACTAGATGATGCCTTGGCCATCGATGGTGCCATTGTTTCCTGGAAAAATCAAGTGTTTTTCAATTGATCACTAATTGTTTATAGATACCCGATTGCAAGATCGGTGATCCTCAGCCCATGACGCAAGCTCGTGTATCTCTTCCCTGGAAGCTCTCTTCCTCACCCATACAATGGCAAGGGATCAAGCACAAGCCAATCTTAAGGGTCCTAGTTAAGAAATCCAGGAAAAAATCATTTTTTATTTTCCATGCTAGAACTCTTCTCTTACCTTGGAGGTGAGGATTGTGGCATCCTGTTGTAAGAAGAAAATCATGTGGCTCATGAGATTGAAACATCTGGTGAGCCGATTGTCATGCCTCCTAGCTCGCCAAAGTTGCCAATGTGATCAATTGCCTTCTGGAACACCTTGGTGTTGAGTGTGACATTGCTCACTCCCCTACATTTCAAAGGAGTCACGAACATGATTAGAATGCCTATTTCAAACTATCACTATGAGTGTTTCCTAGAGAAAAAAGAAGAAAAGAAAATGAATTCCTCAAAGACTATCTAAAGCAAAAGAAAAAGGCATCAAAAACCAGTATGTATGCATCCCAGGCAATTATAAGCAATTCTTATGCTGCAAGTATTAGAGCTTTAAGTGAGAACTTATAATGGCAGCACTTTGCCTTGAATTTTCACTTGCTTTCTTCTTAATAGTTATACTCGATCTGGAAGACACTCTCAACCAATTCAAGGAAACCATAAGAGTTACCTCATGTTGCATTTGTGGAAGCTCAAGGCTTCCTCTTCAAAGCCATGTAGGGCTGATTAGCCGCTCCATCATCTTCCTCCTCCATTCTTGAAAAACCTCCACAAGCAAGAACTAGATTTGAGTAGGAGTGGATAAACACACTAGCTGTGTCGTTGTTGTGATAGATCAGCCCAGAAACAGACTTTCTTGGAAGTTGGTGTATGATCTCTCAGATGCTTCCAAAAGTAAAAAACACACACCTCCAAGAGCTTATTTTCGAAGGAGAAGGCCTACCATCTCCATGCAGCATCGAATTTTGCAAGTTGGGACTGTTTTTTGGAACATGTCTGCCTGGTGTTCCATGGGGAGATGGGAAGTATGCTGTCATAAAGACCTGGATAAGTTACTTGAAGGTTCCAGCATGAAGAAAGCATAAGCTGAAAGAAAGATCTTACCTCAATTGCCTGTGTGTGTGAGGTAAGTACCAGATGATTGGAATAGCTTTGAGATTTGAGCATCATGGTTTTGTTGCAGTATTTCTCCTACAGAAGGAAAAACCAGAAAAAAAAAAAAAAAAACTGTTCAAGTTCAGAGCATAAGAAAGTGAATGGGATTCTCAGGAGCAAAGACACCACAAAGTGTTGCAAAAATCAAATCAGGAAAAGAGCAAGAAAAGATGCTAAGAGGGGCTTCTTCTTTACTTCGCAATGAAGAAAGAAAGTAAAATGGAAGATATTAGAAGAAAGCACTAACAAATCAATTAGATCTTGCCTCATTAAACAAATGCTTTTGTGTCAACGACACTGCCATCTCCCACAAGCACATGGGACACAACTCCAAGGACAGCCAAGACTACAATAGTGGTAGCAAGAGTGAGGACAACATTAAAAACTCAGTAGTGTTCACCATCAACACTGAGGATGCTAGAGCTCAAGCTCACACTAGAGCCACACCTCACAAGCCACATGAAGGATTCAAGCTCCATCACCTCAACATTTCTACTGCTGGTGTTGTAGAAGGAAGTGATTGAGAAAAGGCTGCCATTGCAGTGGAGAAAGCTATACCTTCCACCACTGCCAAACTTATAACATTGTACAATATGTAAAAATATGGAAAAATACCATTTAAATTCTGTCAAAGTGATGTTCATGTCTTCTTTCCCAAGGTTTAGGCAGCTTTTAGGTTGAGATAATTTGCTCCAATTGGGAATAGGTATCATGCTTCCATTTTGTGGAATAAAAAACATCTCACCAAAAGTTTTTCATTTGTTATCCAGCAGGAAAAGAAAAACAAATGCAAACTAAACAATCACATAACACAATGATTAGTATGGTGCATTGCATTAGTTTTACCACTATATTTACCCTTGCTAACTGTGCAGCTTTTGTTGGGCATCTTCTTCTTAAATGCTTCAACTCTTGGTGTTTTTTCTTCCTGTTTTTGTTTTTTCCTGATTTGATTTTTGCGATACTTTGTGGTGTCTTTGCTCCTGAGAATTCCATTGAAAGTTTTCACTTTCTTATGCTTTGAACTTAACAGTTTTATTTTCTTTTCTAGTTTTTCCTTTTGCAAGAGAAATTCTGGCAATGAAACCATGATCAAATCTCAAAGCTATTCCAATCATTTGGTACTTGCCTCACACACACAAGCAGTTGAGGCAAGATCTTTCTTTCACGCTTTCTTCCCGCTGAAACTTTCAACTTATCCAAGTCTCTATGACATAAAACTCTTGGCCAATGTATTTGTCTTTTGGCTCAGATTCAAAGTTTTTTGAAAACTTCACCTTGCCAACCCACCAGCTTTTTGCTGGGCAATTTCTAGGAAGTACAATAAGGGTTGTGGTGGTAGTTTATTGGCATTCTTCTTGAATTTGAGCTGGTGGTCTAGAAATAGTACTCTACCACATAACCGGTTCGATTGCAATGTTTCAGATATTTTGATCAGTTTTACCGTCCCCCTCCTCTTCTTCATCTTTCTTTGCAGCCTGATCCTGGAGAGCCTCAATCACCTTCTCTAGAGCCCCTCTCGAGTTCCCCCTGTTCTGGATCAACACCTCTGCGATATCAGCAGGAGTGATCTCAACCTTGGCGATCAGCTCCTCGATCTCTCCAAACTCCTTCTCAAACTCGCCCTTCTGCGAGATCTCAAGGTGAGTCCAGGCCAGCACCTTGAACGCTTCAAATCCACAGTAGCCCATCAAAATGTGAAGGTCCATCCTGCCCGACCGCAGCAGTGCGGGATCCAGATCTTCCTTGTGATTTGTTGTAAAGATGATGATCCTCTCGCTCCCGCTACAAGACCACAGCCCATCGATGAAATTCAGTAGCCCCGAGAGTGTGACCCTGGTGCTCTCTTCCTCTTTCATACCTTTCTTCCCTGGCAACGCTCCATCTTTCTCCTTGGGCTCTTCACTGGTTTCTTCCTCCGGCGCTGGCTTTCCCCTCTTCTTGAGCTCCAGCGAGCAGTCAATGTCCTCGATCACGATAATCGCCTTGTTGGAAATCCCCATGAGCAGCTTCCTCAAGTCGGCATTGCTCTTCACCTCCGTTAGCTCCATATCATAGACATCGTACTGCGTGTAGTTCGCTATGGCAGCGATGAGTGACGACTTCCCAGTCCCCGGAGGCCCGTACAAGAGATACCCGCGCTTCCAAGCTCTGCCAACTCTCTCAAAGAAATCCTTACCAGCCATGAAGGAATCCAGGTCCTGGACGATCTTGTTCTTGAGCTCGGGATCCAGCGCCAGGCTCGAGAACGTCGAGGCATGCTTGAAAGGCACCGATCTCCACGGCTTCTTCCTGTAACCCCAGTCGTCCGAGTTTGCTATGTTGGTGTAGAGCTGCCGGTCTTGGTTCTGGCGCTTCAAGCTCTCTCCGAGCTTGATCACTTCCCTCATGTACTCGGGCAAGAGTGTATACTTGTGCCTCCTGTGAACTTGGACAACGTACTCTCGCTGTGTTCCTCCACTTCGATCAAAATAGCTGAAACCTCCACGGTTGGAGGGCTCGGTGACGTTGAAGACCCAGGAGAATGTGACGCCTTTGAACTTGTCCTCCACTCGCTCGCCCCTGGTGAGGTTGCAATTCGGCTTGCTGGCGTTCTTCACTCGCGTGTACTGGATCCTGTTTGCCGAGCTCTTGGTGTTGGTGTCGGTGAGGTGAGCAACGTAGAGGTCGACCAGGTCGTAGATCTCGTTGGTGTTGTTGCGGACGTACTCTGGGATTGAGAGCTCTGTCTCCCACCATAGCCAAGTTACAAACCTCTTGAGCTTGAGCTCCAGAAGGAACCAGACGTGGGGCGGAACTATCTGGTTGAGGATCATGATGAAGCCCATGAGCGAACCGAGATGGGAGAAATACCCCCCTGCCATTGCCATCTTGCTCGTTTGCTGCTGCTGTTGCGAGAGTGGGAGAACACTGACCTTGCTGCGTCACTCTTGTTGTCGTGTAGATGAAGCCAGCTCCCGCGTATTTTCTTGTAGAGAAATCTTCGTCAATCTATACTCACAATGCGGTCAAAGGACTGTGTCAGTCTGCAGTCAGCGATAACTTTAACTTCTACATGTCACCTGTTCCGTCCAAGATGCACACTAAATGAACAGCCCGAGTGATGGTCGTAGGGAAGTTCCAGTCTCTCGAGTCCCTCACCATTTTAATAAAATAGAAAAATTATTTATTTATTATGGGCTTTTATCATGAATGTAATAATTGTTTCAATTATAGTATAAATAATACTATGATTATAATAAATATAGAATCTAAGTTTAACTAAACACAGGTCACATTGTTTGGAACCTCAGCTCAACCTAAGATCGTTCACCACACGATGGGTTGAATTCCACACGAGTTTCTCGTTTCATGTATTTGTATAATTTATTGGTGGTAGATTTCAACCACACGAGTTTCTCGTGGCCAGCGTTCGATTTTAGTCGGAAGGACTGACCCATTGGAGCCCATGGAGAGGGCTGTGGTGTTAGGGTTTAGTGCCTCCAAGCTCTGGGGTCCTCGATCGCCTCTCCTACGCCATGGCGCTGTGGTACTCCGGAGCCGCCGCACTTGCCCGCGCATTGGACGATGGCAATCGGCTGCGATTCCAGGCAAGTTCACGATTATCCGCAATGCATCGGTCACAAGCGTCAGAGAAGCGGCAAATCTGCAAGAGGCGTCGCCGGAGGCGGCATTCGTGCTGCTAGATGTTGAAGGAATGATGTGTGGCGGCTGTGTTGCGCGCGTCCGGGGCCAGCTGATGCAGGATTATCGAGTGGAGTCCGCGGCCGTGAATTTGCTCACGGAGACGGCAGCGGTGAAATTGCGGCCGGGTTGTGGGAAGCAGGTTGGATCAGAGCTGGCGGATCTTCTGACGGGTTCTGGATTTCCTGCGAGCCTGAGGTCCGGGAAGGGGCAAGATGACAATGCAGGCAGAAAAATCGAAGAACTCTCGAAGAAGAGGAAGGAAAGCTTGAGGAAGAGTACACAGAAGGTGGCATTTGCTTGGACATTGGTGGCTCTTTGCTGCGGAACTCATGCCACTCATCTTCTCCACTTCTATCCATTTATCCACGATTTTATGCACAGTACGTTGTTTTTCCTTCTCTTTCTCACGTTGCAATGACTGAAGTTGTGTTTTTGTGGTAGGCCCTGTGATGGAAGTCGCTCATGATCCATTGTTTAAATGTGTTGTGGCATTGACAACCTTGCTGGGACCAGCCCGAGGTAATCTTTGCTCCTCATTTTTAGTATTTACATTGTTTTCGGATGCTGCTTATCAGATTTGGTCGTGGATGGTGGCAAAGCCTTTCTGAAAAGGGCCCCAAACATGAATACCTTGGTAGGATTTGGTGCATGGGCTGCATTCTCAATAAGCGCGGTACAAGAAACAAAGTGTGCGGTTACTAGTACTAATTTATCGCGATACATTGCAGATGTCTCTAACAATTCCCGAGCTGAACTGGGGAGCACCTTTCTTCGATGAACCGGTAAGCTTATAGATCAGTCCGTAAACGAAGTTAAATTCTGGTACTCAGGTAATGCTACTTGGGTTCGTTTTGCTGGGACGTTCTTTGGAGGAACGTGCACGCATTCAGGCATCCAGCGATATGCAGAGACTCCTGGTAAGAATTCTGGGTTTCGACCTCTTATTCAAGTCATAATATTTTTCGTTTGTGTAGTCTTTGATTCCCGCGAAATCAAGACTACAAGTTTCTGAACAGGCCAATGACGAGAATTTGACAGTGGACGTTGCGACCGAACAAGTTCGTGCAGGAGATCGAGTGCTTGTATTACCAGGAGAAGTGATTCCTATTGATGTATGTTTCTGTGGTCGTTGTTTTTGCCACTGACTTATTCTCCTCGTTGAGCGCATGCAGGGAACAGTTGTGATCGGAAGGAGTTCCGTCGACGAATCCACAGTTACGGGCGAACCTATGCTAATGACTAAAACAGTCGGAGACACCGTCTCGGCTGGAACAGTAAATTGGGTAAACCAAAAATTGCTACTGGTTTTTATGTTTTTCAAACAGTTTTCTAGGATGGACCAATACAAGTAACTGCTACATGCACTGGGGCTTCGTCCTCCATTTCTAGCATAATAAAAATGGTGGAAGAAGCACAAGGTCGAGAAGCTCCTGTTCAAAGACTTGCCGATACTATTGCCGGACCTTTTGCGTTTGCGATTATGGCTTTGTCTGCATCAACCTTTTCCTTCTGGTATGATATCATAAACGCCATTCTTTGATCCAATTTTGTTATATGCTTATAGGTATTTTCTGGGAACGCATATTTTCCCGGATGTATTACTGAACGATGCGGCCGGTCCCGAGGGAAATTCCTTGCTTTTAAGTCTGAAACTTGCAATAGATGTTTTGGTAAGCATTTGCGTTATACGAGGAAGTAACCAAGGATTGATAAATATGCAGGTTGTAGCATGTCCTTGTGCTCTTGGTTTGGCTACTCCAACAGCTGTGCTTGTGGGAACATCTCTAGGTACTTAAGCCGTAGCTTCTTTACTTCGTGACCTTATCACACAATACAGGAGCAAAGCAAGGACTCTTGCTGCGTGGTGGAGACGTTCTGGAACGTCTGGCATCTGTAAATGCCGTCGTTTTTGATAAGGTGCACTTTCGTTGGAAGAAATATATCACTGTTTTTTTTTTCAGCGCAGACGGGAACTCTTACGCAAGGCCATCCCAATGTATCAACAGTGATGTCTGGAAGCAATGATTTTGACAAAGATCGAATACTTCAACTGGCTGCTACTGTGGAAGAACACTCAGTTCATCCGATTGCATCAGCTATAGTTGAGCAAGCAAACACACAAAAGCTGGAGATGCTAGTGTCGGAAGGACAGCTGACGGAGCCCGGCTATGGAGCACTAGCAAGAATCGATGGAAAGGTCGTGGCCGTTGGTCAGCCTCGCTGGGTGCAAGAATGCTGCCTTAAGCTCGACAGCATGGAAAGCACCGACGAGGGTGAGAGTAAGCTGGGAAATCTCCTGGCCGACAGACAGAGCATGGAGCAGTCTTCGACCACGGTTTACGTTGGGGTCGAAGGAGTTGGAATCGTTGGAGCGATAGCTCTCAGCGATACTCTCCGTGCCGATTCGAAAGTCACAGTTTCCAGGTACTTCGATAATGTTTTACGTGATCTCTTTAATCTGACTTGAAGCGTCTGACAGGTTACGAGACATGAAAATTCGAACTTTGATTCTCTCCGGCGACAGGAAAGAGGCAGTGGCAAGTATAGGAAGGACTCTTGGCATAGAAGGCGATTCTTTGTTTGCGCAGCTCCGACCTTCAGATAAGTCCAAGTTCATTGCGAAGCTACGAGATGGAGGCTCCATAGTCGCGATGGTACGTTACAAGAGAATTATTTCGTTTTCTTTTTCGCTAACGCAAAACAAACACAGATCGGAGATGGCATTAATGATGCGCCTGCTCTAGCCAGCGCGGACGTTGGCATCGCCTTGAAACTCCAGAACAAGATCGACGCCGCCTCGGATGCAGCCTCCGTCATATTGCTCGGCAATCGCTTGTCGCAAGTACGTATTCTTCAGTGTGAAGACTCCACTCCTGACTTGGTGATGATCTATCAAGGTCCTGGACGCTTTAAGCTTGAGCAAGGCGACCATGAGCAAAGTGTACCAAAATCTAGGATGTGCTCTTGCGTATAATCTTATCGCAGTGCCTGTCGCCGCTGGAGTCTTGCTTCCCGGATATGACTTTGCACTATCGCCGTCAGCAGCAGGTTTGTTGGCATTGAAATTTCCTTTGTGGCTGAGACGAACGATGCTGTTCTTCGCAGGTGGTATGATGGCACTGAGCTCGATCTTTGTGGTCTCGAACTCTTTGCTACTGCGGCTTCATCGCCCTCCTAAACACTGACTGTAGTAGTACCCGAGCGGATCACCACTGTACGTATGTGTGTCTATAACTTCCTATATCTTGTGGATCTCTCCATTCCACTCGGGCGGATCCAACTTCACAGGGGCAGTGTTAGTGTCGTGAAGAAGTTCTTCAAATCTATTGCCACCACCACCAGCAGTGCTTCTAAAAACTGCCTGGAGGAACGCGACTATGGCGCCGGCGGTGAAGATCCTCATGGGCTTCCGGGCCTTTCCATTCTTCCCGACGAGAGAGGTCAGCCCACCTTTCAATCCCGAGGTGGCGTCGTCGAGGAAATCGAAATGCCCGTGCTCCGGAGCCGAGAGGAGGAACGCTGGCGCGCAGCAGTCTCGAAAGAATGCCAGGGGGCCGACTCCTCGCGGCGCGCAAGCCGGGAAGAGGAAATTCTTCTTCTCGCCACCATAGCCCGCGGCGATGATCAATACGGGGCAATTCGGCTGGAGCGAATCCTTGCGGTATCTCAGCACTGGCGGATTCGTCTGGCTCGCGCTGGATGTCCCATCGACCGGATCGAGCGCGATGAGAGCGGAGACGCGGCTCGGCAGTGAGCGCTTGGAGAATCCCAAGGCGAGAGAGAAGGCGACTTTACCCCCGCGGCTGTGGCCAGCGATGGCGAGCTTCGTTGCGTCGGCTCTCACTCCATCCGCCGGTAGAAATCTGTGAAGATTTCCCGGAACCCAGCTGATAATTGCCGCCGCGTCTTCGATCTCTGGACTGGCATCGGGCCCGGCAAAGCGATACATCTGATGAGAGAAGACTTTCGCGATAAGATTTCCAGAGCGATCGATCGTGTACCTGTGGCGCGACGACGATGAATCCGTGGGACGCAATGTGACGCATTAGCTGGCGGTAGAAGAGATTGCTGAGGCAGAAGCCATGGAAGAGGATCAGGACTGGAAAGCCGTCGGCTGGCGCCGGATTGGAAGGCGCTGCTACCAGCAATGGCTTCGGCGGCGGGCATTCTTCTCCTTTCTCCCCGATCGTCACGCTAAGAACCCTAGACGCGCCATCTTCGAACACATCCATTGTCTCTCTCTCCCTCTCTCCCACTCTCCTCTTTCTCCTATATGGCGCTTTTGCCACGTGTTTCTATGACACGTAGATATCCAGTCACGCACACGTGTAGGTATGACAGGTGGCAGTCCGAGAAGAAAGCGCGTGAAATAGGTAAGGGCATTGGCGGGCGATTCTAGGGCAGGAACAGTAGAATTGAAGTGGTCTCTAGCTGGAATGCGGGCGAGGTAGGCGCTGTGGATCGGCCAAAGATGGGATGCTTCCAGGTCCACCAGAGCGATGGCGAGAGGCGCAAGCGGAAGCGCCGGCGGATCCTCTGGTGGTCGTTTAGCTTCGTGTTTTCGAGGAATTCTGGCAGGTCGTCTTCGTCTGGCGGCTCCAGCGACTCCTCCGGGGAGCTCAACTGCCAAAGGCTCCAGGAACTAAGGCAGTTCACGCTGGCGGAGCTCAAGAGCGCAACCAGGAATTTCTCCGCTGCCGAGAAGCTGGGAGAAGGCGGGTTTGGATGTGTGTTTAGGGGCCATATCAAGTCCAAGAAGACGGACGAGAGGATCGACGTTGCTGTGAAGCAGCTCAACGTAAAGGGTCAACAGGTATGTCGTAGTTCCCTCTTTGTTTCGTTTGTGTTTCAGAAGATCTCTTCTAAGTTTGCGAGAGGTTTTGTTTTGCAGGGCCAGAAGGAATGGCTCAACGAAGTCACGTACTTGAGAATGGTTGATCATCCAAACTTGGTGAAGCTCCTTGGATATTGTCTCGAGCACGATGATAGAGGACCGCAGTGTCTTCTCGTGTACGAGCTCATGCCGAACAAGAGCCTGGATGATCATATATTCCAGAGCCGAAGACCCGTGATTCCATGGGGCCAGAGGCTACAAATTGCTCTAGGGACAGCGAGAGGCTTGGCCTACTTGCACGAAGAGATGAAACCGCCTGTAAGCTATGCTCTGAGTTTCATTGCATCCCCTCTCATTCGTGGCCGTTTCAGATTATTTACAGGGATCTAAAGTCCGCCAACATTCTTTTGGACAACGAGTTTAGACCGAAGCTTTCGGATTTCGGATTAGCTCGAGATGGGCCTGTCATGGGAAATACGCACGTTACGACCGCGGTATGCTGAAACGGTTCAAAGTTTTTCCAATTAAAGCCTGTTTTTCGCAGGTGGTGGGGACTGCGGGCTATGCTGCTCCGGAGTATGTTCAGACCGGGCATATCAATGCCAAGAGTGATGTTTGGACTTTTGGGATGGTCCTTCTTGAGCTCTTGACAGGGCGAAGAGCCCTCGACATGAACAGACCCCGCAGCGAGAGAAGCCTGGCCGACTGGGTGAAACCATACTCCAGCGACAGCAAAAAGTTTCGAAAGATAATTGATCCTCGTCTCAAGACCAACTTTTCCTCGAACGAAGCGAGGACTTTGCTGTGGGTCGCTCAGAAGTGCATCGCGAAAAATCCCAAGTTAAGGCCGAAAATGAGTGAGGTCGTCAAACAACTTGAGGGAATATTGGTAGTAACAGCGCCAGTCGAGAAGCCGGCTGAGGTTCCCGAAGGAGCGAAAAGCAGAAACCAGTCTATCGCATCAATGGCAGACATCATTGAGACGGATGCAAGTCGAACGGACCTTTCAGGGGAGTATAATTTGGCCGAGGTGGCAAGAATCTCTTCGGTTGGCACTAGCAAATCTATGGAAAGTGGTACCGGATCAGGAGCACTTGATGGCTCGTCTAAAGAGGTTAGTGGAGTTCAAGAAGGCACAGAAATTTGTTCCAATGAGAAAACGCAGAACGAAAATGCGGTAGCTTTGGGTCGGGCTGATGGTGATTCGGCTACAGGATTTGATACTACTAACGCTGAAGTTCGCGGTCCGCCTAATCAAGCCGCAGTGGATCATGTTGCTGTCGTGGACGAGAGTGACACGAAAGAAAATCAGGAACCGGACAAAGAACGACGTGATCCAGAAACGGACATCTCAAGCGTTGAAGCTGCAAGCTCTGGAAAAGATGTAGCAGTGGATGACGTTAAAGTGGACGGCAGTGAGAAACACGAGGCTTTCAGATGCTACATCCCGGTCGAAACGACCTTAGGCGAAGACGCTGATGTCGCCGTGGCGCCAAGATTGAAACTTGATAGCACCGAGGCTACCAGCGACGAGGATGTAACAGAATCCAACCAAGAAGATCGTCCGGTGGAGGAAACCGAACACCATGTTCCAGAACACAATACTACAGATGCTAGAAAAAGTTGCCAGGAAGCACCTGAAGATAACCATGCTCCAGAACACAATACTGCAGAAGCCGAGGATAGTAAAAGCCGCCATGAGGAAGCAACAGAAGATAACCATGCTCCAGAACACAATACTACAGAAGCTGAGGATAGTAAAAGCCGCTATGAGGAAGCAACTGAAGATCAGCATGCCACGGTGGATAAAAGTGACGACGATCTAAGTTCAACTCGGTTAGCCGAAAACAATGCTCCAGGAGACGTAGAGACTGCAAAATCTCCGAGAGACGAGGCTTTAGGCGAGGTGCCCTCGCTACAGGTACGGCGTATATATTGAGCTGTCGAAAGCTTTTTACAAGCTGTCATTGGCAGGAGTCCCAACAGCGACAGAGCTGAGTTCTTCCAGCATCGCCAGTAAATTTCTATCAGCGTCCTCGACGGCCTTGGCAGTGGCAGCCTTCAGCTGCTCCACTTTCGTCCTTATCTCCTCTGCTCGACGTGACTTCCCGTCCATGACGAGCTTAATCACTCGCGCAATCTCCTCCCGGGGTACCGAGTCAGTGTTCTTCACCGGAAGCTCGGCACCAATCTTCCACTCGTCAACCATGAGCCTGCAGTTGGTGTTCTGCTCCCCGGCCCAAGGCCACCCCAGCATCGGGACTCCGCTCGAGATGCTCTCCAGCATCGAGTTCCAGCCGCAGTGAGTCAGGAATCCGCCGGTGGAAGGGTGCTTGAGAACTTGAAGCTGCGGTGCCCAGGATATCACTCGTCCGCGATCGCCAACACTCCGGCAAAAGGCGGTGAAAGACTCGTCGTCCAGGCCGCCTATGACGAGCTGGGGCCTCACCACCCAGAGGAAAGGAACGTCGCGGCAACTGTCGAGAGCTCCCGCGAGCTCCCAGAACTGCGCCTGGGTGAGAACCGCGATGCTGCCAAAGGAGATGTAGAGGACCGAGCTCTTGGGCTTGGTGCTCAGCCAGGCGAGGCAGTCGGCGTCCTCGGCCCGGAGCGCGGTGTCGGTGTTACTCTCACTGGTTCTGGTTTTAGCGTCTCCGGAGGAAGAGAGAGGACCGACTGGCAAAAACTTCTCACCGAGTTGTGCTCTCATGAAATCAAAGGGTTGGCTTTCCAGCGGGTAGAACGAGTTTACGAGCACCCAGGCCGCTCTACGTATGCTCGGGCTCCTCGTTTGCGCGCGTTCGATCCAGAGCTCGTCTGTGTACTTCTGAAGATACGCTGGAAGGTCGCTCTTGAGAATCGGAGGGAGGCCGCCAATGTAATCGATCAAGCAGTCCGGCTGATCTAGAGCGCGGAAAAAGAAAAGAGAGAGCTTTCTCAAGAGAGCAAGCAAGCTTGCATACCTTGTGCGAAAACGTGCTTTCTCGCTGAGAGCTCCGGGATATGGAACTCGATGCTGGCCCAGGAAGCGTTGCCCGACAAAAACGCGACGCGGGGGACGCCGAGCTCGTCCGCGACGTGCTGCGTCGCCGGGAGGAAGTAGTCGGAGAGAATGCAGCGCACGGGGGTGGCTTGGATGGCCGCCAGCGACTTGAGAAGGCGGGGGAGGAGCTTCTCGAGGGTGTCCGCGAAGAGGCCGTTGTTGGCCGCGCAGTAGGCGTCGTAGCCGCTGGGGATGTTCCAGGGGAAGGGGACGGAGGCGAGGCGGATGTGGAGGCCGTGGTCGGGGGCGGACCAGCGCAGCGCCATCTGCTCGTGGATGCTGTCGACGTTGACGAAGGTGATGGCAACTTGGCGGGGGCGGCAGGCGGCGATCCTCTTGCAGAGGTGCATCAGCGCGGAGATGTGGCTCTGCGCAGGGAATGGCACCGCCAGGATGTGGAGGAGCTGCTCGCTTTCCATTGAGATCGCCGCGGCGAGAGAGAGAGAGAGAGAGAGAGCCTTCTAGAACACGAGAGAGCAAACGAACGTTTTGGACTCCCTCCACGCAAAGTATTTTTCTTCTTTTGATGAATGGGTGATAGGATCGCTAGCATCGCACGGAAAGGAACGAATGACGCGAGAGTTTGTCGTCTTTGTCTCGAAATCGAGGACATATAGATCTCGTACCGACACGGATTTGCGGTGAACAGAAAGAGATCAAATCACCCTTAAACCTCAGGAACCCTAAACCCGCGACTGCCAAGTGGCGGAATCCAGGCGCTCGTATTATTAGGGCTTTGGCTTTTTCGTTCTTTTCTCCTACGTGAGTGAGGGGTCGATTTGGAGCGGAATCTTGCGATCGATCGCGCGCGCTAGGGTTTTCTGGGCACGGATTTCGCGATGAATGGGCCAGCTGCTGATGGATTGAGCGAGCGGGAGAGGCGGACCATCCCGGCGCCGACGAATCCCATGGTTACTCCTCTCTTGACTGATATGTATCAGCTTACAATGGCCTATGCCTATTGGAAAGCGGGCAAGCACCTCGATGTGGCAGTGTAAGTGTTCCTCTCCAAATTTTCCTCTTCCCTTTGGAGTAACATGACATAATAGGCCAGGTTTGATTTGTTCCACCGCAAGACTCCCTTTGGCGGTGAATTCACCGTGTTTGCGGGCCTCGACGAGTGCATTCGATTCGTCTCGTCGTTTAAGTTCCAGGACTACCACATTGATTATCTTCGCAGCGTCATGCCTTCGAACGCTGAGGTATGCCTTATTCTTTATGGAAACAAATAGCACAAACCAGAAATTCAGGAGGAGTTTTTCGAGTGTTTGAAGAAGCTGGACTGCTCCGACGTAGTAATTCACGCGATACCCGAAGGCTCGGTCGTGTTTCCTCGAGTCCCGCTTATGAGAATCGAAGGTCCGCTGTGGGTAAGTCAATGTTGCCAGCTTTTTCTCTTTCTTCTCTGAGAAATAAGAGAGATTTTTCCATGACCAGGTGGCCCAAATGCTAGAGACAACGTTTCTCACTCTCGTGAACTATGCTTCGTTAGTGGCGACCAATGCTGCAAGGCATAGATTAGTGTCTGGAAGCTCAAAGATGCTCCTTGAATTTGGTCTGCGGCGTGCTCAAGTAAGGAAAGCCGTCAGTTTCATATGAACAAGTGGCTTAAAAACTTGCAGGGGCCGGACGGAGGCATAAGCGCTTCGAAGTACTGTTATCTGGGTGGTTTTGATGCGACAAGGTTCACTTTTTTCGTTTTTTTTTTTTTTTTTTTTTTTGTAACTCTTACAAATTCACGGTTTCTTGCAGCAATCTCGAGGCTGGGCGACTTTTTAACATACCAGTTCGTGGAACTCATTCGCATGCTTTCGTGAGCTCTTATATGGTCAGTGAGTTTTACTGTTGTATAGAAACCCCTTCGCTGATTTGTTTTGTGCAGAGTTTGGACGAGATTGTAGGCAGGAGCCTCGTCTTTGCAGATAAAAAGAAAGTATGCGAGGATTTTGTTGGCATGGTACAACACTCGCTCAGCAAACTACAGGTACATGTATTGGCTTTTGTGGTTGATGTTGATGTAGTTGTCTGTAGGGGATTGAAGCTCTAAGAGCAGTTTTTTCGGAAACGAATCAGAGCGAGCTTGCAGCATTCTCATCATATGCACTGGCATTTCCCACGGAGTTTTTGGCCCTCGTAGATACGTATGATGTAAGTGGAGCCTACCTTTGTTCTCGTTATCTTTACATCGCAAGTGTAGGTGATGAGAAGTGGTATTCCAAACTTCTGTGCGGTGGCAGTGGCTCTTCATAATCTTGGGTACTGTCTCTTGTTATCGTGTCTGTTCTTTTTCTTGATTCTCTTTTCTTTTCTTTCTCTTTTTGTAATTTTTAAAGCTATAAGCCGCGTGGTATCCGCTTAGATTCTGGTGACTTGTCGTACTTCTCTATCCAGGCAAGAAAGTTTTTTTGCACTGTTGAGAACGAACTTGGGGTGCCAAGCTTCGGAAAGATGACAATTATTGCAAGCAATGACATAAACGAAGACACTTTGGACGCTTTAAATAAGCAGGTTTGCCACTTCCCTCGTCATTTTGTCTCTTTTGAACTGAAACTGGACGCAGGGACATGAAATCGATGCGTTTGGCATTGGAACTCATTTAGTAACATGTTACATGCAACCAGCGTTGGGGTGTGTCTACAAGCTTGTTGAAGTGAATTCCCATCCTCGCATCAAGATATCTGAAGACGTAAGCAAGGTAACAATACCATGCAAGAAGCAGTGCTACAGGATTTATGGCAAAGAAGGCTACGCGCTGGTGGACTTGATGACCGGCGAAAGCGAAGCGCCTCCCAAGGTATTATAGCTCTGTTTTTCTTACTGTTTGGTTTCTCACAGAGCTCTGTAGATGGGTGAGCGTATACTCTGCCGGCATCCCTTCAATGAGTCGAAAAGGGCTTATGTAAATCCACAACGAGTAGAATCGTTGTATAATTGCTATTGGGCCGGAAATTCAGGTAAGTCGTTCGTAGTAGACTTGATATGTTTAGTCCGTGTTTCCTTTCCAGGACTAACACAGGAGCCATTACCATCGTTGGAAGAGTCAAGGCAGCGTTGCCAAAAGCAGCTGGCTGCAATGCGTCCTGACCACATGCGTGGTCTCAATCCCACGCCTTATAAGGTACTTATTTGCCTTCTATACTTGTAGCACTGCTAAACGCTATGATTTATTGTTTAGGTGAGTGTGAGTGGAAAGCTGTATGATTTTATTCATTTTCTTTGGTTGAATGAGGCCCCTGTGGGGGAGTTACTGTAGAGGAAAATATCATTATTCAGTCTAATTTGAAATAATTTGTAGTCCAATTACAATGTAGTGTAAGATTATGTATATTACATGAGCACCGGAGGCTTGATTGAGGACAACAATAGAGACAATTTCATATTTCACTTTTAACATCTTGGTTTGCTTAGAGAATATAGTTAGATTATCTAAGTATACTCTAGCATATTCTTTAATCTAACCGTTGTGATCTTTTTGCTATTAACCATTTTGTGTAAATTACATTATAATCTAGCAAGTCAAGCATTAAACATGGAATAAAATGCAAAAAAAATGTCACTATAATTACATTTTTCTCTAGCAATGATATAGGAAGATATATTAAAACTTTCAAAAAATCACATTTGGTTCATATAAAAACATTTTAACTTTTATTTTTGTATTTTAATACTTTCCCTTACTTCATTCCAAACTTATAACTAGTTAGTGTGTTTGAGATTATATTTTATATAGGCTTAAAATGTGTATAAAGATTTTATTTTGCAAGTGAGAATCTAAAATAATGAAAAAAAGCCTATTTCTGGAATTTTAAATCTAAATTTAAAAACTTGCTCATGATGCAATTATAGATGGTAGTATGTGGCAACAGACTGAGCAATAAAAGATAAACTCGAATCTATATCAACCAATATAGAAAGAATTAAAAAAAAAAAAAAAAAAAAAAAAAAAACCTCTTGTTATAAAAATAAACTTGAAAAATAAATATTAGATAAACTAGTGTTAAATGAACCCCTTGATAGTACTCCTGAAAGGGTCACTAATTTATTTAAACAAAGACCCTTTACTACTTGTATGATTTTTCATTTCTTAGAAGAATCTTTATGTCAAAACTTTCTATTGCAATAGCACCAATAAGTCATTGTTAACACAAAGACCACCACCCAAGAAATGGAGAATGTTAATCCAAAAATATCAAGAACACTTATATATGTGGCCAACTTTATCACATACCGAACACCAAATATTATAGCCACAACCATATCCTCATCTTAGCCTTTAAACATAAGTAACAGCAGCTTTATTGAAATATGTCTATCTCCCACCAATAGTGGAGCTGAAATACATGCAATAACAAGTGGAACAAATGATATCTTATAACATTGTGTAAGTTGAAGAATATTGTCAAGGGTGGCAGAAGAAAGTACATGCATTAGTCCTACAAAATTTTGATGAAGTGTTGGCCACAACAGTCCTAATTTGGTATAAATGAATTTATATTATAGTTTTTCTTTACCAATTTATTAGTTTACCTTGTTTGGCCTTAATTAAGTTCCTTTGTTAAGGTTCTCGCCTTGTACCAATTATTACTTTGTCCTACTTGGATTTAATCTTGGATTCAATTACTCACTACACAAATAATGAGGTGTTAACCTCCATTTACAAATTCCAAACTCTCTCTCCCCCTAAGTTAAATTAAATTTAAGGTTTGGCTACACTTCTTGCATTCATAAGTAGCCAAGCATATCAAACTTTTAAATTTCTAACATCCCTTGATACAACAAAACTTTGATTATAAAACCTTTTAAATTCCAAACCTTAAATACATTTTATACTTCAGAACCTTAAGGGAAAACATTGTGGCTTAATGGCTTGATATGGGTACCTTTTACTCTCCCACCTTTATCCCAAAGGGAAAGCTTAAACTTTTAGAAAGGAGCAAGGATTAATAGGCTATATAATACTTAAATGGAGCACCACTTTACTTAAGTTATAAGCATTATAATCAATTTCCCTTCCTTTATTTTTTAACACTTTTTTGAGAGGCATCTTTGGCACCCCTAGAGTCCATATTCACTCACACCCAAGGACACTAAACCTTAGTCCTAACCTTAATTTAATTTGAAAGCATGATTAGAGTTCAAGATTAAGTCTTTAGCCTCCCTATCATTATTACATTTTTGGAACCCCTTGTCATCTCTTACCCCCCCCTAAAAAAAAAAAATCTAATCAAATATAAAGATTAATAGCAAGGCAAGAGGAGTTGTTCCATATGTAATTAATGCCACCATCAATTAAGTTTAATTGTTTAACAACAACTATATGGCATTGAGAAAATGCACTAATTACTATTCCAAAGTCAAAGGATGAGGAGGCTGTTACTCCACCATGATAATGAATGAAAAAAAGAAAAAAATTGAAAAGATAAAAGAAAATAAAAATCTATACAATATAAAAACTACATTCAAATTAAAAACACGATTTTAAATAATTTTCAGGATAATCAAAATTGCCCCTTATATTCACCAATGTGAGTGTATAAAATATAGAAATGGAATATAAAATATGTATATTCAATTAATCCCAAAACCATAATTTATATGCAAAAGCGAGTGGTCCAAATTGAAACCAATCCAATAATTATTAAAAATCTACTACATTAATATTAATATACACACAATTGGACCTTATAGTGTTAATTATTTAGCTTCACTTTATTTTTAATTAAATATAATAATTAATTTAATATATTATTATAAACTATTTTTAAAAAAAAATAATTTGTATTGATTTTTTATTAACTGTATATGCTCAGCAAAACCACTTCTTATAACTATCACTTGATAGAGCCCTCCAAAAGAAGCACATTAGCATGACTATAGAGGAAGTTGAGGGAAGATAAATTTTGAACTTACATTTTAAATTGTAACATTGAAATAGCCTCTTTAACAAAAAAAAACTTTTAAATTTATCATATATCTTAATGAAAAGTGCATTTTTCTCACTTGAAATTATGAACCAAACCAAGGCTATTGAAACAAATATTTGCTATTAAGAAGGATGGCATTAAAAAATCAAAAAAGTATTCACATTTAAGTGTTTTTACTTCTTAGTGGTAACTTAACTACTTTTATTAATATATATTTGTTATTGCTACTAAGGCATAGTTACAATACTTGGAAAGGGTGGCTGTTTAGAGGTGGGATTCTTTAATACTCCACTTACAGTGTGAGTGAGGCCTTTTAGTTTAAGGCCAACATCTAGCTCAATAAGCATGTTATGTGGCTTGACACAACCCATCCTAAGATTTGCCCAATGCTTGCATCCATCAACAATTGGTATAACTCCTAACCAATGCCAGCATCCCTGTGCCTAATGTGCTAAGTGCCTAGTAGACAGCTTCTCATTAGCATAAAATTTCTTGTGTGACAACTAAATCTATAGTTTTAAATCAGAATAAAAAGGAGAATATGCTTAAAGCCCTAGATAATCTTTTATATTTTATTTTAATTCAAGGTAGGTTCGTTTGGTAAACTAATTTTTAGATTTGATTTTAATTTGAATTTAACAATATTTGATATTGTAAGATATTTATAAAAGTTCATAATCTGTTTATACTAGTTTCAAAAATGAAGTTTAATATTTACACGAGTGCATTTTTTCTTTTCTATTTTATTATTCGAATTGTTTCTCACAACATTTCTGGAACCATAACATTTGGTGATTCATCACTAGATGTTGGTATAAATAATTACTTAAATGCTGCACCTACAAGCCATTGTAATAATCCTCCCTATGGTAGGATTTTTGATACTGGAAAGCCCAGTGGAAGATTTAGTGATGGAGAACTAATAAGTGACATAATTAGTAATCAAATCTAACTTTCTTTCTATTATTGATAGTCTATTTTTGTGAAGCAAAAATGTTGGGATTGCCATCGAGTTTCTGAAAGCTTCCTTGGAATGTGCAACAGGCTGCCTCCACAAGCTCTTGGAGCGAAGACATACCAACGTAGAAAGCTCTGCCAGAATTATAGGTGCTCAAGCGAGAACGCAGTCGAGGAGGAGGTGGCGGTCGCGCTGCCAGACGAGGAGGCAGCGGAGGAATCCATCGCCACCTTGGGTGGCGGCGGAAGCAGCACCGCCAAATTCCTGCATCTCCCGGTACATTTCCAGCGACCGGTCGGGATGCCCGGTTTGGGCATATGCTGCTACCATCGCCGACCACGTCGCGACGTTCCTCTCCTCCATCTCCGCACCTTCCATATCCATGCCTAGAGAACAGTCCAGTCTTGAGCTGAGCTCATAGGTGAAAGCGAGAAGGTGATACATACTTGACAATGCCTGTCAGTAGCTTGCGGTCTTGCTCTTCTTTCCAAACTTTGGTCTCTTTCAGGGCCGCGTATTTATTGTAAGCGACGCTGGGGAATAGCGACGTGGAAGGATTCTCGTTCAGATTTTTCACCTGTTAAGGACCTTCCATTACCTTATTTAGATCCAACAGCTAAAGGGGACAATTTGAAATTTGGCATAAGTTTTGCGTCAGGAGGACCTGGACTATTAAATTCTACATCAGAGTTACAAAATGTTGCAAAAGTTAATCTTCAAATATCTTGGTTTAGAGAATATAAGGATAAGCTTAAAATAGTTTTGGGCACTGAACAAAAAGCAACCCAATTTCTTAATGATGCTCTTTATTTTATTGGAGAGGGATCAAATGATTATGCTTTCAAGTCATTAAATCTAGCAGAAAGTCTAACAAGCATAGAAGATTTTAGAAATAAACTTATATCTAATTATAAAACCTATATAGAGGTAAGCATATAAATTTTACATTTAGATTCTAAAAGGTTCCTCTCAGGATATTTATTCAATTGGTGGGCGAAAGTTTGTAATCTATGGTTTAACACCCATTGGTTGTTCTCCTGGATTGATTACTTATAATCCTTTAACAAGGAGTTGTGTTGATTTCTTAAACAATCAAGCACAAGAATTTAATGCATATTTAGTCCAGCTATCCAAGGAACTACCTGGATCCCAATTCATATACCTTGATAACTATGCTATTTTCATGGATATTATTCAAAATAAATTCAAATATGGTAAGATGTTACTTATTTAGATCTAAGTCTTTATCTTTCTTCAGGATTTCAAGTAATAAACCGAGGTTGCTGTGGAACTGGACTTATAGAATTTGGCCAGCTTTGCAACCCACTTGTTGGTGCATGTGACGATGGTTCATTATATGTCTATTTTGATGCAGCCCATGGAAGCCTTGCAACATATAATATAACTGCAACAAAACTTAGAGCTCAGCTTGAATCTGAATTTGGAGTTATGTTTTAACTCAACGCTGTAAGTTTTTATTTTTAAGCATGCCCATGGCCTGCAATGTATACCTGGTTGGATTCCTAGCATCTCCGCTTTTTTTGGTTTCTTTTTTCTTTTTTTATTGTGACTAAAATTGATGTATACAGTCGACCCATAATCAGTTTTTATTTTTGAGTTTAACTACCAAACGTGCGGTTTCTTTTCCACATCCCAATTCCTCCTGAGTAACACAAGCTCCTATATAAGTTGTCCAGGCAACCCGATCGGCCTCAAAAGGCATGTTTTCAATCAGATCCCGTGCCTCATCCAGTTTGCCAACCCTTCCATACAAATCAATCAAGCACATGTAATGGTCCACCAGGGCCTCGATATTGTGATCGCCAACCATGGAGACAAAATAACTACAACCATCATCCAAAAGCCCTGCATGGCTACAACCAAAGAGAATGCTGATGAAGCTGACTTGGTTGGGGAGCATCCCATCCAGGATCATCTCTTTAAACACATCCCCACCATCACAACCATGTCCTTGCTGGGCATATGCCACCACCATCGCTGTCCAGCAAACAATGTCCTTGTCGCGAATCTCGTCGAAAAGTCGCTTCGCATCTTGCAAGTTTCCATACTTCCCGTACAAGTTGATGAGCGCGGTTCTCGTCACCAGATTCTGCGTGGCTCCGGTCGAGAGCATCCGATCGTGAATCGCCTTTCCCTGCGAGAGCCCGTTGCAGATCGAGCACGCTGTCAAGAGGTTCGCGAAGCTCGTCTGGTTGAGCTTGAGGCCCTCCAAGTCCATTTCGCGGTGGATCTCGAATGCTTCCTTGCTTCGACCGCATTGTAACAGCGCTGTGGCCATGGCGTTCCACAGGGCGATGTTGTGGCGAGCGCCTGGGATGGACTTGAGAACTTGGCGAGCATCGCAGCCTCGATCGCTCCGACCGTACATGCCAACCAGAGAAATGGCTGCCACCACGTCGAGCTTGGTTCCAGCCTCCATCATCCTCTTGTGTATCTTGATGCCCTCGCAAATACCACAAGCGTCCAGGATGGAGGCAAAGCTTGCGGCATCCGGTCGGATGCCCTCCAAGTCAAGCCCACGAAACAAAACCCACGCTCGCTGGAAATCCCCACTCTGGGCATAAGCTGCGATCATCGTGTTCCACGAAACCACGTCGCGTTTCTCTAACTGATCAAAAATGGCTTTTGCGTTGCAAACACTGCCACCTTTAGCGTGCATGCTGATCAAGCTATTGCCGAGAAACAAATCCGACTTTAAGAGCCCAGAAGCAGCGATCCTCTCGTTTAGAGCCAGCCTTTCCGATCGATGTAAGCTCGAGCAAGCCTCGATAAGAATAAGATAAGTCACCCTACTCGGGGGCGTGCCTTCCAGATTCATATAGTTGAAAAGGTGGGCTGCCTCGTGGCTGTAACCATTGTGGGCATAGGCCGAGATCATCGAATTCCAAGCTATGGTGTCTCTCTTCTCTAAGGATTCAAACGCTTCCCAGGATTGTTTCACGGATCCACATTTTCCATACATGTTGACGATCGAGCTCTCCACGACACTGTCAGCCTCCATTCCAAAGGATAGCACGTATCTGCGATGAATCTTTTCACCCAGGATCGAGCTTTGGAGACGAGAGCAAGCATCCAAGAGTATGACAAATGTAACGCTGGTAAGTTTCACACCCTCTAGATCCATTCTCCACAAGAGCTGGAGAGCTTTTTGCGGATGCCCGTTTTGGGCATATGCTGTCATGAGAGAGTTCCAGGAGACAGTATCCCTGAGAGAAAATCGGAAGAACACTGCCGTGGCCTCGTCCAATCTTCCCTTCTTTCCATACATGTTGACGAGGGTGTTGCCAATCACGGCGTTGGAATCCATCCCAGACGCAAGAATTCTGCCGTGGATCGCGATGCCCCTGGTGAGATCCCCAATCCTCGCGCAAATCGCCACGACCGAGCTGAGAACGAACGCATCCGGCTTCACACCCTCGAGCTCCATCTTCCAGAAGAGCTCCAGCGCCTGGACATCGCGATTCTCCTTGGCATAGGCGGAGATGATGAGCGTAAAGGAGAAGACATTGGGCTCCAGGATCTGATCGAAGACAGCGCGGGCATGATCGAGGCTGTGACACCGGCCATACATTTGGATGAGGAGATTGGCAACGAATGTGATCTTGTGGTGGCCACAGCGGACGATGTGAGCGTGGACACGCTGACCTTGGAGTAGCGAGTTGGAGCTGCCGCATTCCTTGAGGAGAAGCTCGTAGCTGCGAAATTCCACGCGCTGTTGCTGTTCAAGCCAGTCGATTGCGTGAGGCAGCCCATGATCTAGGCTTGGAACGAGTGTTTCTGTCATACCCTAAACCACTCCCGCGCTATTTAAAATTTATCAAAAAAGACCAAAAGATATTGGAGGTGAGGGGCATCGATCCCCTTACCTATCGCATGCGAAGCGATCGCTCTACCATTTGAGCTACACCCCCTTTACAATATGAAATATAATAATAACTTTAAAATTAATTTATTAATGATAATAGTAAATATATGAAATTATGCAAAGGTCCTACCGAGATTTGAACTCGGGCTACTGGATTCAGAGTCCAATGTCCTGACCACTAGACCATAGGACCAGTTTCATATTGTATTTAATCAATTAAGATAATCCAACCAGCTAACAAAAATTTCAATTCTGGAGGATCAATCTCCGATGGTAAAGCGATGTTGGTTAGCAAGAAGGGCAAGGTAGAAAATCTGAACCAGCAAGAAGTAGACTTTCCATTGGGCTTCTTGTAGTTTTCTTACTACTACACAAGAAATGAAAGGGAAAAGAGTAAAAGACTGCTGCTCTGGGGCAAAGTCTTCTATCCTAGCACAATTCATATGTAGGGGCATGTAATGAACAGCGAGCAAGATTCACAAGGAACCTGAAGTTCACGCCCTGCATCCCATATGTGATGAAATTTGGTTCAAAATGATTGAAAGAATATAAAGCATTTGGTAACTTTTGAAACAATTTTGAAGGACCAAACTAACATTAGCATTTATCCAAATTATAAATGCTCAACATAAAATTTCAGCAAATGGAGGCGAGGGGCATGCAAAGCGATTGCTCTACCATCTGAGCTACACCTCTTTTGAGATTATACTCACATAATAACAAAAAAAAGTATCAACTACATTTTCTTTCTTCAATCAATAAAATGGAAGCGAGGGGCGTCAATCCCCTTACACCCCCTTTCAGAGATTGTACTCTAATACTTAATTTATATCAGCAATCTCATGCATCATCAAATGGAAGTGGCATTGATCACCTTATCGCATGCAAAGCGATCACTCTACCATCCCTTCTCTCTCCTAATCCAATATAACAAGAAATTTCAATAAACATCTTGCATTTAACAAAGAGGGTTTAGGGTTCTTGCGAGATGGCGAGGAGGAAGAAAAGGAAGCGGGCGAATGCAAGCGGTCGACCAGAGGTAGCTCCTTCCATTGATGCCTTAAATGCGCGGGACGATCAGCAATCCAAGCAAATGGTCGTTTACGCCGACACGTCCGGTTTCCTTGGGCGCCAAGAAGAGGAAGCAAAAGAGGGTCAAGAAGTGAAAGAGGAAGAGGTGTTGATGTTGGAGCTAAACCCAGTATCAGATCCAGTAGAAGAAGACGATGACGACGACGACGACGAAGAAGAAGAAGAAGACGACGAAGAAGAACAACTCCCAGGCTCGAGCAAACGATCGCCCAGTCGCTCCAAGGCTCTGAAAAGGACGAGGACGTACAAGACCGGCATCTATCCGTGCAGCATTTGCGAGCGAGTTTTCAAGTATAGTTGGCACCTCAAGAACCATCAGCTCGTCCACTCCGATGAGGTAACTTGCCACTTCGCCTCGGATCTGGTCTAAATCGTTGGTTGATTTCGCTAGAGACGCTTCCGGTGCCAGTTCCCTGGCTGCGATCGAACGTACAAGCGGAGGGGCGATGTCAACGTACACATGAAAAGGAGCCATCGGCTGTCTGTCCGCAAGAGAATCAAGTCGTCGTAGAAGTTCCAAGAGCTCCTGAAAGTTTATTACGAAGATCCACTATTCGTACGTACTTCTGTAGCTAGGATTGTTTTCCTGACGAAACTAGCGTTTCATTCAGCTTGTAGGGAGATTCTAGAGTGAGCGAGCACACCAGGGATGGGACTTCGTCACCTGCGAGGGGAAGCAGCTGTTATAGTCTTTAGAGAAATCAAAACACTCTTCTTCTTACCTTCTTGACACTAGACTTTGTCAGCCTCCGGTGGTGTGGCATTTCGGTCGCTGAAATCTCCGTCCTGCGTCCACTTGCCATACTTCTCTCGCATCTTCCGGTTGAGCTCCGCGGCATGGCTGTCGTTGGCCTTGGCAGAGCGAGCCTCGGACTCCTCCTGGACCTTGGCCAGCTCCTGGGCCCTGTGCGCGTTCTTGGACTCGAGATCCTCGTAGAAGTTCTCGTAGCTGCAGTGGTGGACGATGAAGGCCAGCACCAGGACCATCATCTGTACGCACAGCATGATCATGAAGAGGATGGCGTCGACCCGCATGAGAATTCTCGTGTTGTCGACGCTCCGCTTGGACTTGAGGTGCTGCTCGACCAGCTCCTGCTTGATGAAAAGCGCCAGGGAGCCGGATCCAAGGCCGCCCATGGAGAGGCCCAGCGCCAGGAAGTGGTATGAGAAGCAGCTGTCGAAGGGGAAGCAGCCCAAGAGCCCCGAGAGGAAGGTGAGCGCAGCAACGAGGATGAATCCCCAGCCCGCCCACGTCGGATTCAGCCGGATGGCGACGATCGCCGCGACGGAGACGATGGCGCCGATCATGACGAAGTAATTGAGGAAGCGCAGGAACTTCCTGAGGCACACCGCCATGCTCCCCCGTCCAGGGCGGCGAGAGTTACCCCCGCCGTGGAGCTTATGTAGCTTGTGTTGGAAATCGAGCGTCATGGTATCTCACAGTGGAAAAGAAAGGATTTTCCCGGTCTGCAAGAAGATTTCCATTAGTTCTCGAGAAGACCAAGCGGCAAAACGGAGAAATCCGTGGCAAGGAGGAACATTTTGGAAATGCGGCAGTGCAGGGGACGATTTCCAAGAGAATCTCGAGATGAAAGGAAAGAGGACAAGCAAGAAGCGCCTAGATCCACCTAAATCCTTGCAAGAAAGCGCGAGCGCATGCCATACCTCTAGATCTTGGAGCCGAACCCTTGACGAGAATTCTCCTTCGCAAGCGCGGATCTCCTCTCTCTCAACTAAGAGCCCTAAAAAGAAACGCTCTCTATCCTAGCCGTTGGAAGGGAGACGTTTAAACCATGGAGAATCATTTGAAATGCTAGGGTTTATGATACTCTGGTTCTAGGGCTTGTTGCTGGCGATGGAATCACGCGGCAAATTCGTGGGCGGTAGAATCACCAGGCATGGCCAAGATTCCAGTGCGATGCTCCAAGAAGTCATGGATTTGAGAACCCATCTCTCTATTTCTTCTTTTTGGCTTTGGCTTTGGTCTTTTGCTGGACGGGCCTGCCTCCGCCCTTGGCGCCCTTGACGTTCCACTTCCCCGACTTGCGCTTCTTGGGAGGCTTGACGGCGTCGTCCTTGAAAGGCATTCCCAGCAGCGAGAGCAGCCGCTGCCCCTCCTTGTCCGAATTCGCGCTCGTGCAAATGGCGACGTCGAATCCGCGCTGCTGGTCGATGCTCTCGAACTTGATCTCCGGGAACACGCTCTGGTCGCTGATGCCAACGTTGTAGTTGCCCTTGCCGTCGAAGCTGTAGGGGCTGACGCCTTGAAAGTCCCTCGTTCGGGGAAACGCTAGATTCACGAGCCTGTCCAGGAACGAGTACATCACCTGATTATCGACAAAGAAAACAGCCACAACTGTAAGCTTGCGAAGAACTAAAGCTCACTTCTCTCTCGGGAATCAGAATTCACAAAAGAAGAACACTCACCTCTCCCCGGAGAGTGACCGCGATTCCAACTGGGACGTCCTTCCTCAGCTTGAAGGCAGCCACGGCTTTCTTCGCACGGGTCACGATTGGTTTCTGTCCCGTGATGAGCGAGAGGTCCTTTTGCATGGCCTCGAGGATCTTGGCATTTTGAGCACCTTCTCCATTGCCACAGTTCACGACGATCTTATTGAGCTTTGGTACCTGAAAGAAGAAAACATCCTGTTTAGAGATGGTGAAGAAGAAAGCAAAGAAGAACAAAACAATGTAGAACGCTAAGAAAATACCACAAGGCTAAGAGTAAAAAACTTACTTGGAGCGTGTTTGTGTAGCTAAATTCTTCCATCATGGCCGGCACAACCTTGTCCAGGTACTGCGATTTCAATCTCTGGACTTGCTTTGCAGCTGGAGTGGGCGATTCCGCGGCGGCCTCCTCCGCCACGGCTGTGGATGCTCGCACGGCGCGAAATCTGGATGCTAGGCGATGCCGCCGCGGCCAAATGCGAATGCTCACGCTTACCGCCTGGCCGCCGCGCAGGAATTCCTTGTCCGCGGTGCCAATGCCGCCGCCTCCGCCCGCCAAGGACGCCACACACACGCCGTATGCCGCCATAGCCGCGCTTTCAAACCTATTCCATCGTCGTTTTGAGATAAACCCATTGTCTTATTTTCTCCTGTACATATTCTTGTCCTAGTATTATTTCTATTGTCTCCTTGATTCTTTCGCACGGAATTCACGTCCTTGGCACCTTGGCAGCACATTCTTTGAAGAAATCATTCAGGTGTTCTTCGAAGAATTCATGCCTTCTTGACGCGGCCATTTGTGGAGGCCTTTCCTCCTCCGCGTCTCAGGAACTCGAGGATGTGAGTGTTGAATTGGTGTGCTTGCTCAATCTGGACGGCGTGCGACGCTTTCTTGAGAATAACCAGCTTGGATTTGTCACCCAGATGGCTGCAACAACAACAACAACAACAACAACAAAAGAGAAAAAAATAAAGAGCGATGGACTCGAGCTCTGAAAAACGAAAAGCTTGCTACCTTTTCACTTTGTGCGCAAGCGCAACAGGAAAAATCTGGTCGTGCTCTCCCCAAATTATCAAAGATTCCTTCCAAGAGAGAAAATGACACACAGCGCTGTCAGCCCGTCTCGATCGACAGCGAGCAAATGAAAGTTCACTTACCTGCGTGAGAACCGGCAGAGGCGTTGGATCCTCCTGCTGATCAACACCCAGCTGCAAGCCTTGGAGCAACTCCACTTTCTCCTCCCGCCTCTCGATGTACAGCAGCTGGAAACAAACAACAAGAACACATTAAATGGAGAAACAACCAACGAACAACACAAAAACCGCATGAACAAAGACAGAGACAGAGTGAGAGAAAAAAAAAAGCTTAAACCATGGAAAGAGATCGCAGGCTACTCACATTGATGTAATCTTCAAGGACGCAGTCGAGGAGGCACGACGACGGCCTGTAGAAGGACAACTTAATGAGCTTGCGGAGCTCGTCGGGAGTGGTCGGCAGCAAAAAGTCGGACACGGCCTCCACTTTGGCCGTCTTGGTGATGGAGTCCACGTCCAGCGGAGTCATACAAACTCCGGAGCTCGCGATCACCACCCTCTCCACGGCCTGAGGAAAAAGATGAGCCATCCGGAAGGCCACAAACCCTCCGTAGCTCACACCGACAACGTCGAACCTGTGCACTCCCAGCGCCTCCATGACGTTCATCAAGCTCTTGGCCTGGTACACCTCCGACCTGTTGGGACTGGTGGTGGTCGACTCCCCGAAAAAGATCAAGTTTGGGATGTAGAGCTCCATCTCCGACCCCAGCTCCTTGAGTTGCGAGGACCACTGCCACATTGCATTGGCTCCAAAGCCGTGGATCAGCAGCACCGCGCGCTTGGAGCTGCCGCTGCTAGAGGATTTTTTCCGCTTGGGAACCCAGCACTGGATCACTGTGGTGTTGTCCGCTTGGATCGATCTTAATTCCAGACCCGCGGACACGAACTTGGAGTGAAGGCGCTTGCTTGCGAGCGTTGTGATGCTGAAGCAGCCGCAACCCCCCATTGTTGAGGTCCAGGCCGGCGAGGTTCTCTAGCGCAGAGGAAAAGATCACAAAATCATTAGCACGAATGGAAGAGAGAGAGAGCACAAAGCTTACCTTTCGAGCAGGAGCCTTAATAAAACTCCACACTGAGCGAGCTTCTTTGAGTGTATCCCAGTACCGGCACCTAACTTGTTAGAAACAGCTCGAAAGGAAGTAGTGGAGAGAAGCAAAAAACATATATAGTGAGCGCTTTTGCAGGGTGAGCAGAAAACCAGAGAATGGCCTCGTGGCTCGGACCCCGAAAAGTATGAAAGGGAAATGGTTACTACTGTTGAGGTATCCAAAGTTTTACGAAAAAGATTGGACTTACTTCAGTGGAAAAAAAAGTGTCAGCGAGTGTGTTCTTATGGCGGAGATGATCATCTCCTCCAGGTTAGTTCTACGTAGTGATGTTTCAAACTAAAGTTTAGTCTCTAGCTGTTGCTGCTGGCGATGCCGCTGCTCTTCGAGGCTCTCTGGATGGGCTGCAGAGCAGTGTCAGTTCAGAACAAATAGAAAAAGAAAAGAACATTACCTGCGGGAGGAGCTCTTCTTGCGGCCATTCTTTTCAGGAGAAGCTGAACGAGAATCCGCACGTCGTCCCCTTGGCGAAGACCACGATTCACTTGGACTGTGGCGAGGGCTTCGATAACGAGCAGGACTTGGAGAAGAGTAGCGAGACCTTCCATGGCGATCGCTATCATACCTTCGAAAGCCAGAAAACGATTAGCTCATGTATACATTTCTGAATCTGTGCCACCACTACCTCGAGGACCGATAACGTCTTCCTGGTGAGTACGATCTCGATCGAGCTGTAAGAAAGACAAAAACAAAACAACTTCAGTGCTACCTAGGAGAAGAAGAAACAAACAAAACGCTTACATCTAAACCGCCGAGGAGAATGTCTGTAATAGCCACCACCTCCATACCGACTTCCCCAGCCACTGCTACTTTAGACACAGCTTAGACAAGGAAAGACATGATCAAATACTGACCTGACTCTGCTCTTCATTCGCATCTCCGATGGCTTCTTGCGGTTTTCTTCGGCAAAAACTACGGTGATTTCACGACCGCCGAGAACTTGTCGATCCATATGATGCTTTGCCCGCGCTGCGTCCTCAGGGTTCATGTACTGCACGAAGCCAAATCCTCGAGGCTCACTGCAAAAGGGAAACGAAGAACAACGCGATGTCAGTACTAAGAAATGCTACACTATATAACGTCAAGCCGCCAAAGCAGGCAACACACAACGAGCTCCCACAACAAATTAGCATACCTTATGTGATCTTTAAGTTTGAACTTTTTCTCTTCAAAGGTAAAGGCAAAAACACTTCAAAGGGGCAAGCATCTTCTCTTCGATCGGCCCCAGGCTCTAGGAAAAACCATTCCTTCATTCCTTCATATACCATCTTCAAAAGACGGCTACGGTTCTTTCACAGGCTGCAAGCTTTTGTTTCTTTTTTTCGGTTTTGTTTCCTTGGGCTTGAAAACTACAAGGTTGTCAGGTCATTGATCATCATCTTCAAACTTCTTCCCCTGTGCCACATTCATGGCGTCCTATCAAGTTAAAAAAAAAAAAACGAAAGAAAACAATACACGTCCCACGAGCAAGAACTGCGATTCTTGCACTGTGCAGCAGCCATACCAATGGCATTGAGCGTAGAAAACAAAAGCAGATATAGAAACGACACAAGAAAGGCATCAAAACTCCCATCGGCTCAGCTCAACTCAGTTGAAGCACGCAAGCAACGCAAAAGAATGAACTACCTTCGTCGCCATGAAAAAGAAAAAAAAACTGGAAAGGATGACGCTCGTAGGCGCGGAGAAAAAAAGAACACCGCATTCCACTTACCCGGTGTAGAAATCCTTGGGCAAATACACGTCCTTGATGTGTCCAAACTGCTCAAAGGGGCCGCGAACGTCCTCTGGCCTGTGACAGCCACAAAGCTCAGAATTGGCCACCAAAGCAATGCCAAGAACACCACAAACCAAAAGCTAAAGCCAAGAAGCAAAAGCAAAGACAGAGAAAGAAATTGAGAATGCACCTCGCCGATCGCGAGATATTCCTGACGAGCAGGCTGCAAGGCGGAGTCGGGACGCGGCGCCGATCGTCGTGACCTCCTCCTCGGCGCTTGCGACTGGCAGGCGGACTCCAGCTCCGGCTCTCGCTGCGGCTGCGGCTCCGGCTCCAGCTCTTCCTCGGGCTGTAGCTGCGACTCCGGCTCCGGCTCTTGCTCTTGCTCTTGCTCCTCGCCATCGCTTTCTTCTTCTTTCCTCCAATTCTGCCCTAACTTTGCAGTTTAAAGTTTCTGTTAGTTAGTCGACAATGCCGTACGGCGGAGCGTGGGCCGTACGGATGGGGCGAGGATCTGGATGGGTCACATGATGTTCTGTGGCACCTGAGTGGATCCAGAGATAAAAATCGGTGCGTGATAGCGAAAAAGTGGAGTTGCAATTCATTCTTCACAAAGCCCCCACTTTTGCTTGCCTTTCTTTTTGGGTACTCTGTTCGTTGGAGCTCGCAAATCTCTAGCTGGAAAGCCTCTTTTGCCGATCGATTCCATCGCAGCCCACCTCGATTCTTGCCAAATTGCCGCCGCCCACAGCGGTTTAGTCCCTCCTCGACCCACATTGGATGTCTATGGGGGCCAGCAAGCAGGAAAGAGGCAATGCAGCGGTGTGGGCGATAGCGATGGCGATTCTCCTCGCCAGGGCTGCCATTGCTTCAGCGTACATGATCTACCGGGTGGGCGACGACGATGGATGGACCGCCAACGCCCCCGGGATCGATTACACCAAGTGGGCATCCCAGAAGGCCTTCCAAGTCGGGGACATGCTAGGTGAGTAGAGCTTTCCATCCTTGTAGACCTATGGTGTTCTTGGATATAGTTTGATCGATCTATGGTTGCATTCCTTCTCCAGTGTGATTGTTCCTGGGGTCGATGGTGGTTTTGGTCGATCTTTCGACCAAGTTTTGGTGTTCTTGAGAGCAATCTTGTCACTTATTCACGATTTCTTCTCGTTGTTCTTGGATCCAGTCTTCGCCTACTCTGGCGCGAATCACACGGTGCTCCAGACGAGCAGCCAGGACGCATTCGACGCTTGCAACACCGGGGTGGAGGACGCCAAGATCTGGTCCGCCGATGGCTCCTCCTCCTCCAACGTAATGCTCACCACCCCGGGAAGAACATACTTCCTCTGCACAGCAGACGACGGCGGCCACTGCCGCGCCGGGATGAAATTCGGGATCGATGTCACTGGCACCGCCCCCTCCGCTGGATCCGATGGCCTCGTCGCTCCAACCGGATCGCCCCCCGTCGATAGCTCCTGGAACTCGCCAGGTCCCGTCACCGATTTCTCGCCGCCCTTCCTCACTCCGGATCCATCCAGTTCTTCCTCCACCGGCAGCTCGATTGCTCCGCCAGGATCAATCACCACTCCATCGGAGAACTCGAATTCGCCACTCTATTCTCGCGCCACCCCCACCAGGATGATTGGCGATGGATTTGCGGTGGTGATCCTTGTCTTTGCTGCCATGCTGCTGTGATCTTGTCAGATCCATCGTCTTAATCGATGCTGGATGCGAGTGACTCGGCTCGCTTGAGATCAATCTAAACACTTCCATCGAATCAATCGCTCGGCTCTTCATTGTTCTAAGCGATGGTGCCGCGATTCCGGCCGGATAAGCGCGCGGGGGCGCAAGGATTTGGATCCAAATCTTCCTTGTCTCGACTTGAGCTTGGAACGATCACGGAGGGCGGCTCTTTTCTGGACGCTGCGAACATGCCATGCCCCTCGCTTCGTCAAATCCGCCGCGACCAGGCTTTAAGATCGATCCGTCTATCTCTCCTGTGTTGCATTCCATCTGAGATCGTGGCGCCATGGCTGCCCCAGTCCCCGGCCTCGAGCAAATCCTAGAAGAACCACAGACTTACGACCACGTCCGCCACAAGATCCATGGCCTTCGACTCTCCAACGCTCGCGCACTCGCCAGCTCCTCCAGATCCAGCGCCACCGAGGACGTAGGAACCCTAATCCCCAAGCTCCCCGACTCGGTAGCGCTCCACTGCCTGGCTAGGGTTCCTCGATCCGCGCTGCCACTGCTGCGCTGCGTGTGCCGGAGCTGGAATCGCGCGCTGTCCACCAACACCCGCGACATCGCGAGCGTGCGCCGCGAGATTGGCACCGCGGAGCCCTGGATCTACTTGTCCTTCTCCCCGCGCGGCGATTGCATCCAGAGCCAGCGATCTAGCAACTACTTCACCGCCTTCGATCCGGGCAGCAACCAGTGGCACAGCGTGGGATGGCTTCCCGGCCTGGAGCGATTGGAGGTGCTCAAGGGCTATGGCTGCGTGGGACTGGGGGGGAAGCTCTACGTTCTTGGAGGAACGCTGTGCATCAAGGAGAGGGATTTTGGCGGCGGCTGCCACAGGGATCTCCGCGTGAGGAGCGAGGTGCTGGCCTACGATTGCATCGGCGGGCGGTGGAAGCAGTGCGCGAGCATGCGCAAGGCGCGAGTGGATTTCGCGTGTAGCGTCTCCGGCGGGCGGGTTTTCGTGGCGGGCGGGCGCGGGCGGCTGGATCACGAGAACGCGGCGGCTATGGCGAGCGCGGAGGTGTACATCCCGGAGCTGGATCGATGGGAGGAGCTCCCAGACATGAGCATCACCAGGTAAAGATCAAGAGTTCTTGAGGATTTTAGGTGGGAAAGTTTCTTCGAATTTTAGGGTTCTTACCTTTCCTCCAGGTACAAATGCGTCGGCGTGACGCTCAAGGGGAAATTCTTCGTCATCGGCGGCTACACGATCGAGACGCTCCATCGCAGCTCGGTAGAGATCTACGACCCCAGCGAGCGGCGGTGGGAGCGGCGGCCAGGGATGTGGGCGCTCGACATCCCGCCCTACGAGGTCGTGGAGCTCCAGGGCAAGCTCTACCGATCCGGCGACCAGCTCAATCACTGGCGAGGCTCGATCGATGTGTACGACGAGCGGCTCAAGATGTGGAAAACGATCCGGGGCTCCAACCGGCGGCTCGGGGAGGATCTCCAGTGCACGGTGCGGCGCTATGTGACCATGGCGGGGATTGATAGCTATCTCCTCTTCTTTGGCGGGCATTGCCGGGTTGGGGATCGCAGCGGAGATCACAGGCCCTTTTGCCTCGAGACAGTGGATGCATTCCAGGCGCCGGTTGGGCGGTGGTGTGGTCTCGATCCATTCCGGAGTAGCTGCCGGGAGCTCTGTAGCTCCTGCTGCGTCGTCACCGCTTGAGGAAGAGCTAGATCTTCTCTCCTGATCTGGTATGCTGAGATTATTTTTTTCTCCCTTAGTTCTTTGTTGTCGTGTACAGTATTCCTTTTCTAGTTGCTTCCTTCGATTGTTAAGACATTTATTTGCTCAACTGTTTAAAACATAGGTTTCATTTCTATTTGAGTTTGCAGTGCTTGGGAACTCTCCACTCAACCTTCTCGTGCGCGAGCTTGTACCTTTTCCAATCTTCGCGTAGCAACGTCAGGTCCTGAAGCTTCTTCTGGAGGCCTACACAGCAATTGGCATGCACGGTGCTCACCTTGTCAAAGTTCTTCACGGGAGCGCAGAAGCCTTCGAAGTATTGAGTTGGAAGGAATCGGACTTTGAGGCCCAGATCTTGGAAGGTTTTCGTGCCTTTGATCGCCTTGAACACGTCCTGATCGTGCCTTCCAGGGAATGTCTCGTGCGAGTCGTACCAGAATTTGTACAGCCGGATGGTCCGCTGGTTGGAGCGAGCGTGGAAGAAGCCTGTGTTGGGGGCATTGTTCATGTCACTCGCATTCCCGAAGAAGTAGTCGCAGGATAGCTCCAGATCTGCATCAGGCGTGAAATGCTGGAACGGATCTCGGAACCACATCACGTCTCCATCCTGAATGGAATGGATCAACTTAGAGTCAGCGGTTTGAATGCGAATGACCAACCGTGAAGATGAAGCTGAACCCCATCCGCAAGACGATTCCCATGAGCATGATCTTCTCCCTGGTCATCTTGAGGTAGTCTTTGCTCATGAACTGCTTCTCCTGCGCTGAGAAATCGACACCTTTGCTCGTCATCTGGAAGCAGTGGCCGTGGATCGCCAGGCAGCGCTTGTGCGAAGGCTCATCCATGGCGATTATTACTACGTGCTGCAAGAGCCAGCTGATCCTGTTTCCGTCGCGGAAACTCTCCAGGAAATGATCCAGCATGCTCCCGCTGGAGGCCCAAGCCTGATTCAGCGTGGTGAGAATGATCCTCTTCTCGTTGGGCAAGCTTGCAGCCTTCAGGATCTTGTCAAACGCTTCAAGCTCCTCGACAGTCTGAACGAAACGATGTCCAAGTCAGTTCAGATAAAACTCGATATAACGGCTGAACTTACAAAGGAAGTGGTCGCTGCAATTGCTGCCAAGGAGCCACGATCAACAGCAAGATCGATGTCAAGATCAAGATGGCTAGAACAATGCATTTGCTGCAATGAACTCCACAAGAAGACGAATGCAACTAGGAGACCAACCAAGCATACAATTGAAACCGGATACTTTGCTAAGGCGCCCATAGCTAAAGCGTTCAGTTTCATTACTGTACTTGCTGCCATGATCATGCTCTCAGCGTCAACCGTGACAAACGTGAACCTTCAACCTTACTCGATCGAACAAAGTCAAACCATCTCACCAGATTATTGCAAGTTATTCGTAGTTCTGCGGACACGTGACTTATCCAGAATATATGACGAGTTCAAACTTGCTAATCAGATCCGATTCATCAGTTGGTGATCCGCTGAAGAGCAATGTCCGAGCTTCGCCTGAGGCAGCGAGGAAATCTCTAGCACCTCCGACAATGGGAATTCTGCCGGTGGATGTCTGTCCGAGAAGGCTGATCGACCGTCAATCGTTGTGCCATTGAACAACAAACTGGAGATAGGCAACGGCGCCACTCCTGGAACGCAGCTTGCTATTTTATTGCCACGGTGTTGTGGCCAACACAACTGGAAGGCCAATCACTGCTGTGGTTTACTTGGCAGTCCAGTTATGACCAGTTCCTCTGGTTCTGCAATAGTCATCTACAACAAGTGCACCACCAAACTATGACGATCCCAGTTCTGCAGAAATCGCGGGACTCTCATCACAGTTGACCTCAAGGCAAAAGCTTACATTAGCATAAGAAAGAAAAAGATATTAACCATTAGTATCCAAGCATATCCTAAATATACAAGTTTGATTAAGTATCAATTGTATTGCCTCCACGTCACCACTGGTTATTTGATGAATGCGCTCGTTTTTTATTTTCAAAGTTCATCCTTAGTTTTCTAAGGGGAATTCGAATCAAGAGTGTTAAAGTCGATGGACTCTTCACTGATTTGCAGGGAGCTTGGACAGGCATCAGGAGAGGAGCTCCTTAGAGTAGCCAAACGGTCTCAGTAACATAACGTTTCAATACTCGCATTTAACTTTTGAAAACACTTGGATCCACACGCTTGTGGATGTGAAGATACAGAAGATCAAACAAACTAAAGATCAGACAAAGCTTTAAAACTTCTCAGTACATGGCATTGGGTGCCTTGAAACTCATGCTCCCAGGGAGAGAATCTGTGCCCATATTGCGCTTGGATCCAACACTTGCATGAACAATTCCTCCATTTTTTTCTATTTTCTTATAGACGTCAGAGTTTCCTGGGTTTCGTATGTCTTCAACAGCGGTTACAAAACTCCGAGAAGATCTACGTGCAACACAAAAGTTAATCAGTCAAGCATGAAATTCTAAACCTATACGCTATATTACCTTTGAAGAAACAGTTTCTTCCATCCTTTGTAACCCGCGTCTCGCAAGTTCTTCTCCGTGACTGCGCGCTGCGACTCGGTTCGCCGCTGGGACATCAAATACACTGTCCAGTGCGCGTCGATGAGCTTCCAGTAGAGTGTTCTCATTGACACGATCGCTGTGGCCTTGCCTTGGGCGACCCAGATGTTAAAGTCTGTTTGATTGAACAAGGAAGCTCTACAAACGCGAAACGACAAGCTTGTGAAGAAGACTAGCTTAAAGCGTACCCATAGTTGTGCTTGGCGAAGTAAGCAGCGTTGGAGAGCAAAGTCTCGTCCACCTCGAAAACCCAGCTATCGCGGCCATGCCCTCGAACACTTATGCTTTGGGAGAATCTGGTGGCCTGGTAAGCCACAAAACTCATGTCCTCCAAGTATCGAGGACCAGTTGTGTAGCGACGAACATAAGCCACGCATTCGACTGGAAGAGTCCAGTCTAGGATGTTTCCAGCCTCGGCATTGAGATGGAAACTTTGGCAGTAGTCATGGACACTCTCGCCCGGGAGTCTGGGAGGGAGATCAAAGCAGTGGGAGAAGGTCGATGCTAGTATCATAAACAAGGACAAGAAGCACAATGGATTCTTCGACTTGATCATCTTGCAATCAGCAGGGAGAACAGGAGGATGGAACGCAGCAAGATGATGGACAGACTTGTTGCATATATTTATATGTCTTCAAGCTTTTGTCTCATCATTTCAAGTCTCAAAGCTGCAATTCGTTGTGTTGCCAGCTCTGTATATTTGGACTGTAAACAGGAGAGGCGTGCTTGCTACGTAAAGTAAAAGAGGAATGTATTTTTGTCTTTGCAGAGAAATTTTCCAGGTGTTTTGCCAGAAAACATTTTAGAGAATATACACTCAGGAAAACATACGGGTCGCTATATCTTTGCGTAGACACTACGCCCACCGTGTATATGCAGCCTTGTAGTGGTTTCCAAACAACTTTGCCAGCTTACTATTGCGCACTCGCGAAAATGACCCAAGAAGTGTCATAACATTATATAAGTGTGTGTGTAGCCACTGAAAATTATCCAAACTTTTGCCTTGAATTCTGTATGCTTGCATACTAACTTCTTTGCAAAATGGTTGTTTCGATTATCTTGTGTTCTTTGCTATTTTCTGCAATGAGCTCTTTGAATTCCCAGTGCTTTGAGCCTCCTCCCAGGCTCCCGGGCCAGAAGATCGAGGAATACTGCGAGAGTTTTCAGATCAATGCCGAGGCTGGGAACATCCGGGAGTGGACGCTTCCCATTGAATGCGTGGGTTTCGTTCGTCGCTACACAACTGGTCCTCGATACTTGCAGGACTTGAGTTTCATGGCGGATCAAGCTACGAAGCACGCCCAAAGCATCAAAGTTCGTGACGATGGCCGGGACAGCTGGGTGTTTGATGTGGACGAGACTTTGCTATCCAATGTTGCTTACTTTGCCAAACACAACTACGGGTACGTGTATTCATTTATTAGAGATATTTATAGCTTTTTGATTGGATCTATTCGACTAGAGCTTCCAAGTTCAACCAGACCGACTTTAGCATCTGGATAGAAAAAGGCAAGGCCACAGCGATCGTGCCAATGAGAACACTCTATCATAAGCTCATCAAAGCAAAGTGGACTGTTTACTTGATGTCTCAGCAGCGAAATGAGTCGCAGCGTGCAATCACCGAGAAGAACTTGCGAGATGTGGGCTACAGAAGATGGAAGAAACTATTTCTAAGGTGAGGTTTATACAACTTTGCACCTGCCTTACAAAAATCATTAATCAGTGCACCTCGGAGGCTAAACGTGGTTGAAGACATAAACACAGCAGGAAACTCTAAATGGTATGGAGAAATTAAATCTTCTGGTGGACGGATTCAAGCTACAGTTGGAGACAACTGGGATACGGACTTTGATCCAAATCCTTTCCCTGGAAGCATGGCGTTTAAATCACCCAATGCCATGTACAACATGGCCTAGATCATGTTAACGAGAAATATTTACTGTTTCTTGCAAGTGACAATGGGCACTGAATTTCAAAAGCTTGAAACTGAAGAAGAATGTGAAAGTCGGGTGTTGCAGTGGTAACTTTGGTGACAACAAGGAATTGTTTCTTAGTCATGCCAAAGCCTCTTTGCCTCCGAACGATGAACGCAAGGCCGGCCGTTGACTCCAGCACTTCTGTATGAGATTTCTCAGCGAGATTGAGCACTCTAGAGGGAACTCAGGCCGCTTGTGCAGCATGTACGCGAGATTTGCATCATAACCAGCGCTTCCTGTAAAAACACGGTAGCAAACCATGCCAAAGCTGTAAACGTCGGCTTTTCTCGAGTAGCCTGTGGAGCCCGTGTCATTAACTTCAGGAGCCATGTAGCCGAGAGTTCCAGATCTCGAGCCGTCAGATTCTTTCTTCCCATCGCAAAATCTGTTCTCGCCAGACATCTTGACGATCGCTGGCGAGCCGTCTAGATCTCCATGTCGACGATCGTGATGCAGCTCTACCAGAATGTCTTGGGCTTGAGATCCCGATGAAACACTTCTTTAGCGTGCAAGAATTTCATTCCATCTGTAGCATGGAGTAGATCTGATCCTTTGGAGTCAAGCTCTGCCCGTGCTGGTGCATGAAAGTTTCGAAGTCCATGTGCATTCCATCACGATGTGTGCACTTCGGAGTCTCGCTGAATCCTACCATTCGATTTATGTTGGGATGCTTGATAGTTGCCAGTGCTTTCATCTGCTTTCATCCCTGTGAAAGCTTGGATCAAACTGCTTAAAGATCTTCACTGCAAACTTACATCCAAGCCACTTAGCCGAGTACACACGTCCATACATAGCTCCCTTCTTGACGAGTTTCCCCAGTTTCAGCTGGTTGAAATTGACGACGCGACGAGATCCTCAAGTGTGCCACGGTTTAGAACTTTAGCTTGTCTTGGAAACCACGATACTTTGATCTTAACGGGCTGTGCTCGCCTGTTAACTCGATCTGGCGGTTGGGAGCCGTCAGATGAGTCAGGTCCTCTGCGAGAATGTGGCTGTTCCTTTAAGGGTCTCGCCCACGCGGGCCCGTTCTGGGCGGGAACATGCTCGCCCTACCTGGGATCCGGCGGCACTTTCCAGACTAGCAGCAAGTTCTTCGTTACCCTGAATCCCGTGGTCACCCATGGAAAATTTCAAAATTTCTTTGACATCATTCTTCGTTAATCAGCGTGTTTATCACCCAGTCTTTCTTCATTTGCAGTACCCCTCGTTGACTTGATGATTCATGTTTCAGGAGTGCAGCAGCTCGGATCAATCACAGCGTTTACAGCATGCCTGTCTCAAGGTTTCCAAATCCTCCAAGTGAATCCTGGGATCGTTAGTTTGGATTCTGCTTGTATATTTATGGCATATTATACTTAAAGATTTTTTGTTAATATTTTTCGTTTATTAAATTAAAGTTAGTTTATGCCATTCAGATGACAATAACCGACACCCACAAAGAAAGAGCGTGGAGATGGTTGTGGCTGCCACCACCACCAACAATAACAAATGGCATGCCACAATTGCAGTGTACCCCCATTGCATTCGTGTCGCCTTGATGAGCACTTATAATGCACAAGAATTTGAAAATGAGCTCCACTGAGAGCTTTGCGAAGCCAACCAAGTTTGCAAGAAAAACGGAAAAGTCTGGGTAGGAGATGTCTGTCTTGGTTCACTCCCAATGGACATCGTCTCATCCTCATTTGGAGAACCAGCACCTCGGTCATTTGTCACAGCTTGGAAACCAGCAAAAGAGAGCCTCAAATCGATCTAGCAGACATCACCAACACACTAGTTAATATGTTCTTCTCAAACTTTTGGGCCACGATCTGGTATTGGGCCACAAAAATCTTATGCAAGCTGAGTGGTTTCTCCAAGGGAAAAATTCTAGTGAACTGGAAACAAACTCTCTTTGGACAAGGACTTGAGGGAGAGGAATGGAAGAGTCGCCACACTGTTTATGTGTGGAATTTGCTCAGGAGGACCATTTTAATTGAGATATGGTGGCTCTACAATCACTCTTTAGTGGAAGATACCAGCAAAGTGAGCACGAGATACCTTGTCCAGCAGATCTGGTTAAGCTTGAGGTTCTATATACTACTTGAGTGGAGCCAAGTCGTCAAGGAAAAAGATGAAAAGCTGGCTAGAATTTTCAAAAGGAGGTGGCTTACCAATGGGTTTGCCGGGATCAGGACGAGAAACTGGTTGCTGTGGATGTGGGAGGCACCACTCTTGATTTCCAGGCCCAACTTTTGAGAGTGGAGATCTCAGCTTATTCAATAAATCAATCAATTGAGCTACATGGATAAAGAAACTTTTTTGACTCAGCTTCAAAGAATGTAAAGAAAGAAGAATGGAAACTAGTTCCTTTTCTTCAGACTTTGGAGATATCAAGGATGTGAACAGCATTACCAATGAGTAGCTTGTGTCGACCAGAGTGTAGAAACCTTTTCCCATTTCTCCGGACACTGCTGAGGTGCTTGCATGGATCGATGCCAAAGATCAGCCTTTGAGTTGTGTCTGATTCCAAATGGACCTTCTGGAATGCAATGAGTTGCTTGAGAGGAGCTCCCTCCACTGGTGGAGGAGCCGAGAAGATTAGCACCGAGTGGCTTCCAGACCTGGGACCGAGATTGCTTACTTCCACGCTGACTTGGAACAAAATGCTGTTGCAAGTTTCCAGATCGTCTGCTGGTAAATGAAAGCAACCAGATTTAGCTTTGCTCCTATTTACTGCTGGACAGCCTCTAGAGTTTCCTGTGTTGCTTTTGAAAAAGGAGAGTTTTGTTGGTGCCAAAAGAAATTTGTAGAAGTAAGTTGAGTAAGACAATCCATCGCCGAAGTTATAGAGTGGTGTTCCTGTATAGAATCTATAACTTCTCCCTGGATATCCCGATAGTGGATTGGGCCTCATCTGCATATCCAGCATGGAAACGTTTGTAAATTCCTCGTGGTACCAAGTATTTGGCAAGCGGCCACCTAATTTGAGATTCAATGCTTATAAGTTCTAAGCTTGCAAGAAGGAAAAAAAGATAAGGAATACCTGGATTGTAAGCTCCAAAAACAACATGAGCAAGAGCAGCACCTCCAGATTGACCAGGATACCCGAGCCAAATAACACTTGAAATTCGTGAATTGTCCTTGAAAGTTGAGATATCGACAGGCCCCGCAGACATGATCACAAGAACAATAGGACTAGTGACAGCATTTGCGATGTTAGAGACAAGTTGAGATTGCATTCCCGGAAGAAGTAAACTTGTTCTATCGAAGGTCTCCCTCTCCTGGGACTGGTCAAGGCCAACCACCAAAACCACAGCATCTGCTTTGGTTGCCACCTCAACTGCTGATGCTACCAGGTCACCTTCATTGCATGCTACATTTCTGCAACCTGGTGAGTAGAGGATGTTACTGCTGTAGATTTGCATGCCCTGCAAAGGTGAGATATACTTGCATGGAATTCCTACAAAAAGAATTCCTACCATAAGAAAATCTAAAGAGTTTTGAAGAAGTTAATCTTTCACCTTCATAGTTTCCAAGCATCGTGTAAGTTGCATTTGCGTTCGGTCCTATAAGAGCCACGGTTTTCAAGGCTGTGGATAGAGGTAGGGAGCCATCATTTTTGAGGAGGACGACTCCCTGGAGAGCGGCATCCAGAGCAAGCTGCTGGTGATCATTACTGCAAATATCAGTTGCTCCTAGCGATGAATATGGTTGAGAGTTTGGATCACCATCGAACAATCCAAGACGCATTCTGGTTCTCATAAGATTAGAGACTGCATGGTCAAGGTCGGCCTCAGTGATCTTCCCAGCTTGAAGTGCTGACTTCGCGTGCTTGCCGAGAAAAGTTCCACAATTAAGATCAAGGCCTGCAAGTCACTATATAAGAACTTGATGGTCTTCCCAATTATTTATCAAATTTTTACCTGCGAGAATGGAATCAGCAACTGCATCTTCGGCTGAGGGAGCATATGTTGTGTCCTCAAAAAGAACTTGAAGAGCATCACAGTCAGAAACTATATATCTGGAGAAATAAGAAGTAAAAGAGTGATTTTTCTTGACGAGAAAGAAGAACAAACCCATTGAATCCCCAGCTATTTCGTACTGTTTCTGTGAGCAAATTTCGATCAGCACAAGTTGGGACACCATTCACCCGGTTATAGGAGCACATCACACTGCTCACTCGGCCATCCTCAATGCAGCTTTGGAAAGGCGGGTTGTAAGTGTCGACTAAGTCCTGTTCACTCACCTACAAGAAACTCACAAGAGAAAACATATCACTCACTACACAGTGAAAAGCAAAGAAAAGAGATAAGAGAGAGAAGTCCAAGACTATACCTCCGCATTGAAGTGGTATCGATCCATACCTTTCCAATTGTCCACGTCATAGGCCGTAAGATGCTTGCAGCACGCTGAGACCTTGAGGAAACCATCACTTGCGGATCCCTCGTATGCTCCTCCTTGAAGTCCTCTCACGTACAGGGACGCAAATTTGCTGGCAAGTAGAGGGTCTTCTCCGGGAGTCTCCTGGCCTCGTCCCCATCTTGGATCGCGAAAGATGTTCACGTTTGGACTCCAAAACGTCAGTCCAGCTCTTCCCAAGTTGTGTAGCGCCCGGGCCTCGCTTGACACAGCCTGCATTGCAGGAATTCTCATGGATAAGTTCGTTGGTCTAGATAGACAAAGATTTCTAGAACTTGACACAAAACTTACCTCTCCGATTGAATAGAAGAGTGTGGAATTGAATGACGCTGCCGTGGCTATCGGCATTGGAAAGCTTGTAGCAGCCGGAGCAAGACCACCAAACTGGACTCCCGGACTGGAAGCTACACCGTGGAGAGCTTCTTGCCACCACTGATAGCTAGGAACTCCCAGCCGGGGAATGCCTTGAGCAGCATTCACCATCTCGTCCACTTTCTCGTCCAGAGTGAGCCTCGAAACCAAGTCTTGGACGCGAACATCAATGCCGAGCTTGGTATCGCAGAATGGAAACGAGCCGAGGCTGGCATTGCTGGAAACATCGCAAGCATACCTCAGTTGAGCTGTTGAAGCTCTCGCATTTGAAAGAATCACCACCACCACCACCACGAGGACTAGATTCCACCGGGAAAAATCTCTTCTCCTTCTTCTTCCCATCTTGTTCTTCTTCTTCTGGGTCGTCACTCACAATCGAGAAGTGCGTCGAGCTTAAAGCCATTATTTTGTGGCGATAATTGACGGGCAAGACACGCACGGCGCGGGTCCCTATCCACGATTCCCTTGCTCGTAAAAAGCTCTCCTCCATAGCCTGCTCTTCTCTTGCCTCTGTCGCACTAAATGCTTTTGGAAAACTCAGTCTGCCCATTGCACCGTCCATACCTAGCAGCAGTCGTGACAATTAATCTTCTATCTGCCCCTCCTCTTTGAATTTTTTTGTTCTTGTAAGCACTGCTTGTGGGTGAAGTGATCATCAATGGAGCTCGTGGGCTCCTTCCTAGTATATGCCAAGGCCACACACCAAGTGATCCGTGATTTATCCTTGCACTTCACTGTCTAGAGATATAGTTCTCAAACTCCACTCAAGAGAGAAAGCGTCTTTCAAGTTGAAAGTTTCAACCAGAAAGCTCTCCAGAGTACTTTTTGTTTGCTTTCACGCACACAATCCACAAAGATGAAATTGTTGCGGGCCCTATGCAATATAAACCTAGAGCTCCCAGTTCTATTTTCGCAAAATGTTATTGAATTCCTAGGATATTCATGTATCTCTCCCCGGGTTGCTGGAATCCAAGCCGAAGCTAGATCTGTTTACAACAGGTACGCTTGTCATTTCCCTCTCCAACCTTGAGTGAATTCCAGGCCCCGAAACCTCCGCTGCTACAGTCAAAGTCCGGAAGCTCGTTATCGTCGTCCTCAGCGTCGAAAGGCAGGCTTGAAGGTGTTTTCTTCAAGTTCTATATGGATATGGAAAAAAACTAATATCACATACTTGAAAGTTTTTTCTTTTTTCTTGGGAAATTAGAACACTTCATGACATTCTCCATGTGCAATCATATATTCGTTGCAATACATCCTCATTGCAAAACTTGGACATTTGGTGGTTTTACAATTTATTTTTACTGCCATTCCATTTTTGCATAAATAAGATTTTTCATATTTATCAAAACTTTGTCATCCACTTCATATGAAAACTTTGTTAATGTACATCAACTCAATCATAGGCTTTAGGTGAATGGTGCACATGAAACAATAAAGAAATAAATGAGAAAGATAACAAATGCCAAAGGTCACTCTGTGGAGTCAACTTTTAAACATACTCAAGCTCAAAACACCTTTAACAATTTTTCCATTTTATCTTGAGTTTTTTGCCTGCTCTATTGTCGTGGTTTGGTGTTTTTATTTTCCGTACACGGAGCCTCTCCTTCCACAAATGCCCAGCGAGAATATTTTGTCTTCCCTCGTCATCGGCCAGGGTGAACAAGACTTTCCTTTGGGTTATCGTTTGATCGAGGATGGTCGGTAGCAGCCAACAAGTGGTCTCCTTGACTCTGCCAACAAAAAAAAGAGAAAGAAAAAGAGGATGACTGACCGAGCTCCACTGCGATCTTCAACATTCTCAAGCGGTGGCTACACCAAACGCTTGACTTCACATTCTAGTCCGCACGCATATAAAGGCCAGTGACATTGCTTTCTCATTCTTCGTCTCAACCAGTATCTCCTCAAAAAAACCACTCGTGATGGCGCACAAGGCAATCCAAGTGATGGGATTCAACCCCGCAAACCCAGTCTCGGTGTGCCAAGTCGTGACTGTGCAAACTCCGAAGCCCGGGCCAGACGAGGTGCTGCTCAAGATTCTCTGCCGCCCCGTCAATCCTTCCGATGTGGTCTCGTTGATGGGCATCTATCCAGGCGACTACAAGTTCCCGTATGTCCCTGGCTTCGAAGGAATGGGAAAGATTCACGAGGTAACGCGCTTGTGCTTTCTCTCCAAAGAGAACTTTGACGTGAAACCTTCGCCGCAGGTTGGAGCAAATGTGAGTGGCTTGAGCGTGGGGCAGCGGGTGTTCCACACTGGACCCGGAGGAACTTGGCAAGAGTTCATGGTAACTTCGCCGAGGAACTTGACATTGGTGCCGGATTCCATCTCGGACGACGTTGCTGCGCAGTACTACGTGAATCCGTGGACAGGTACTGTGTAAGATTTCCTTGAGTCGTTCAATATCTATCGTTTTCTCTTTCTTTTGGAAGCATATGCGATGCTCCAATCACTCAAGGTGCCAGAGGGAGAGTACGTACTGCAGACTGCGGCCGCATCTGTGCTTGGGAGAATGTTTATCCAAATCGCTCGTCACCAAGGCATCAAGGTGATCTTTGCTCCTCTTTTGAAATTACTGGTGATTTCTCAAGTTCCATCCAACAGACAATCAACTTGGTTAGGCGAAACGAGCAAAAGGAAGAGCTTAAAGCACTCGGGGCCGACGTAGTGATCAACTTCAAAGAGGAAAACGTACTCGAGATCGTGAGAGAGGTAACCAAAGGAAGGATGGTTTATGGAGCTACCGATTGCCTGGGAGGCAAAACCACAAAGGTATCATACAATGTTCCATGGAAGCTTATAAGTTTTTCTTTTCTGGCTTTCCAAGCTTGTGAGCACGACAATGAGGGACGAAGGCACCATCTTGGTGTACGGGCTCTTGGACGGCGAGGACATCAGCGCAAACCCTCCAGACGTGATCTTTAGGCACGTCCGCGTTCGCGGCTTCCACTTGACCCGCTGGATCGCGAAGCTCGGCGTCCCCGAGCAAAAGAAGCTCGGTGCGAAGATCTGGGAGCTCCTGGAGAAGAAGGTGATCACTCCATTGACAGGGGAGAAGCTCCCGCTGGAGAAGATCCAGGAAGCCATCGTCAAGAGCCAGGTAAGAGAAGAATTCCTTCCATGAGACTTCGAAATAACAGTCCGAAGCTTATGAACAAAATAATTCCTTCTTCTTGCAGACACCAGCGAGAGGTGGAAAGATTCTCCTAACGAGCTACTGAAGAGCTATCTGTGGAAGAACAATAAGAACTGTAGGTGGCGATTTGGTTTTTATCATACGATGCGTCTGCACAGCGTGATCCCGTCGCTAATGGAAATGTGACTTATCTCGATGCGAGGGTCCGCCGCGAGAACTTTGTTGAGCTCCTTGACGAAATCTTTGTATAACCGGACGTACTTGCGCATTGGCTCATCGTCGGACGCCACCACTGCTCCGTTCCACAGCGTGTTGTCATAGCCGATGATTCCACCGATCTTGACGAGCTGCATTACTCTCTCGTGATAGTTGAGATAGTTGTTCTTGTCGGCATCAATAAAAATGAAATCGAAGAAGCCATGGTTCTTGTCCTGAGAGTACAAAGATAACGTTTTTCTTTTAGAGGAACGTATAAAGAAAAGAGTGAAACGTTCGTTTTCTATGAACAGGGGTATTTTACTTCGCGAGCTTGGCAGGTTAAAAGTAGGATCGAGAGGATGGTGAGCTTCATCTACTTTTAGAGAAAGAAGGAAAACAGGAAAGAAAGAAGGAAATGATCTTAAAACGTGAAGGCTTACATTTTGAACGAGCTCGTCCAGAGTTGCCAGAGCTGGGCCCTCACGGAAATCAATCTTGTGGTCCACTCCTGCTTCTTGCAAGAATGGGAATCCCAAATCATAGTTGCTCCTGTCAATGTCCATTGCTATGATCTGTGTAGAACACACACTTCTTAGTCGTGAACTTCGATCCAGGACTTTGTTTTCACCTTTCCATCCTCTGGCAGCGCCAGCGCTGTGCTGAGAAGAGAATAGCCCGTGAAGACGCTGATCCTATCTTAATTGGCTAAAGGGGTGATTATTTGATTGTACTTTATCTTATTATTCTGGCATGGTGCTTAACACCTAATCGTATTTAGGCCACCCTTTAATCAACCAGCTTACAGCTGCATAGCATATCACAATCTTGAGCTTCCAATGCTTTGCCCCAATGATGTTGTGTGGCTGATTCAACTTGCTGAAGGACTTCCATCCTGGAAGTTCCATGATGACTCTTTTGATAGTGCTCTTCGATAAGCATTTGGGCAGGACAATCTTTCAGCATGTCCCAGATTCACTGGAACTGCATTGCCACCACATTGTAGTACTTCTCCCCGGCCACTAAAGAACTAAACCTTATTCATTGTTAGGATCTTATCCCTTACATCTTATGCTAATTGATTAAAGGGCTAATCACTTGATTGTAAGGCCTTTTCTTTATTCTATTATTTTGACTTGGTGCCTAACATTTAGGACATCTATGGACATCATGTCTAAAGTCAGAAAGAAAAGCTTTCATGTCATCGTGCCCAAAGACAATAAGGAGCAGGCTTTCAGGATGTTAGTAGCTCTATGCCACATAGGCAGGTTCTGTTCCTCTATACCTAGGGTGTAATAGATCAAGATGTTCTTTAGCAGTATCACACCATGCTTCCTGCGATCTCTGTATTAATCACGGGAGATTGTTCCATGTTCGCAGTCATATGGCAAGCAGCAGCAGGGTGGAGTAGCGTGATTGGAAAATTCGAAAAAAGTGTGTCTTTTCCATAATCAAGATTGGTCTTGGTGAGCAGTAAATTCATCTTCTTGATTGTGCCAAGTTTTCCAGCGAGAATTGGACTGCTTTATCCCAAATTCTTGGAGCGCAGACAGAGGAGCATGTTGTGACTTTGAAAGGGCGTGAACCCATTGAGAAATTTATCAATGATATAAATTATATTGAGGTTTGCCTTAGAGCAGCAAAGCAAGCTGTCACAGATGTGGACAAACGAGCAGCATTATTGAATGGTATTCTAGATATTGAGCATTTCCAACAGATCTGCACGTCTTTACAGAGTATGCAAATGAAGCTTACCTTTCTTCAAATATGTGTTGCACTCAAGGAGGAACAATGGCAGCATAATTTACGTATGGCATCAGGAAAGGCAGCCAAGGCAACAGTCTTTATAGCTCAAGAGGCCTATCCTTCTGGTTCTACCACTTCAATTCCTGCTGTGAGTCGGAGTGGAAGCAATCCCAGTGGGAGCAACTCCAATAAACAGAAGAGGTGGCCTAGTCGTTGTAAGCCTTGCAATTACGCAAAGGAGTGTCCTAAAGGCTGTTGATATCGCCTCAGGCAAGTATGTTCCTCCTGACCGTGCTAGCCAAAGTGCAAATAATTCCACACAATCTTGTGCATATATGGCAAGCTATGGTCCCTTGGAGTCAGAAATTCTTTAGCTCAACACTGCTGCCGCATTTCATGTCATGCTGTTCAAGGATGTTTGTCAGACTTATAATGAGATTCTGACTGGTAAGCGCATTCGTGCTGCTGGAGGACGCTTTTATGAGGCCAAGGGCGTTGGCACCATGATGGTCCAGCTCAAGAATGGCGAGACTTGACTTATAGAAGATGTCTTTTATGTTTCGGAGTTGACAGAGAATTTACTTTCCTTGGATGCATCGTTATCATCTTTCTGGCGATCCCAATGGTATTTCTATCACTCTGCGAGTCTATGTATGGAAGCAGATATGCCAGTATTTACAAGCTAGATGCTATAATGATCCCACCTTTCCGAATTTTCTTAACAAGAGAGTTGCGTATGTTGCTGTGGCACCGCCGCTTTGGACATGTACCCCATTGTCAAGCAGAACCTTGTTACTGCTTGTGATTTGGACTGACTTCATGGTTCAGGGGATTGCGAGGCTTGCATGGAAGGCAAGCATCACTTTAGATTGTGGTCGTAAATATGAGCAAGGATAAATTCAATCATGTCAGAACGACTCATGCTTGAGCTAGTCAAACCTGTGTTCTCAGCTGGACAAAAAAGTAAGAAAAGAAAAAAGGGAATTGTTGTTTTGGAAAAATTGGATACATTGTACAAAATGCATGGCCTGCGCATTTAGCTTACTAGATTTCAAACCCAAACAGTGCTATGTTAGAGGAACACTAGGAACAATTAATCTAAAAATTTACAACTGCCTTAACATCTGGATCGTCTTGAACGAGCGAGAAATCTACTCCCGGAGTAGATCTCTAGGATCATAGCAGGAGATGTCACACCTGTGATGCGCTGCCGAAATAGCCTGAAACAACTGATCAGTACGCAAGCATTTGCCAAAGAAAACTTACAATATGCTCGTGACAAAGTTCGTGAGTTACAGGAGGAAAAGCTCGATGGTTTTGAAGGCCTCCCTTTGCCTTGTTCCGTCAGCACTGGCTGCGCTGTGCCAAGTCGTTTGCAACAAAAACGCCCAGTAGCATTCTCTGAAGTTCTATTCTCGAAGTTTTGTTCCTTGTCAAAGTCAATTTAGATATTACCTCGTCTGAGAGACCTTGTTGCTCTACAATATTATTGCGACAGTGTTCCTGTGGTCGTTTGCATCAAAGCAACAAAATCCGGCACCAGATGGAGAGCCAAATGGCACTCACAGCCAAGCCATCAACTTGTCCCTGGCTAACTTGTGGTAACCTTGAGCACGAAGAATCTACAGAGACCAACGAGACAATGATAATGATCTCATGTTTCCTTTTATTAATATATCACAAAGAATACTTATGCTTCTTGATGAGCACCACAAGACTATAAACAGTATATAGATAGATAGATAAACTCATCATCACCTTTCAATGTTCCAGTGGACGGCAAAAAATTGCTACATTGACAAAAGTACTTGGAATCCAAAGCATGTAGCTTTTAGATATTTATTACTTTTATTGCAGTTTGTCGTTCCAGGTCTATGAAGTTGTTGTTTTCCTGATTGTCTCTTTCAGAAATTGAGATTAAAAAATATAAAAACTGTTATTTTCAGTAAATGAAAGTCATGAGGGACTTGATTATTATTTAGAAAGATGTTTTAGCTTGAAGCAGGGGGCATCTTGGCTCGATTGACATAGCTTGGATATTAGAAACCAAAGATGTTATCTGCAGCTTCCACAGCCTTCTTTTTGGCGTCTGGGTTCATCTTGTCAATGACCTCCTTGCGTGGCTTAAACTTACGGAAGGTGAACTCTGCAAATAGAACAAAAGGACTGTGCAATTTTCAGTGGTTTACATTAGACACCTCACCTCCAGTGATGCCATTGGAATCCTCCTGATGGAACAGAATACGGTTGCTATCAGACCAAGCAAAGAGTTTGATGCGGTACACCTGCTCAAATACACGAGCTGTGACTGAAATACAAAGGGCAGCCTGGGCACAAACCTTGAAGTACGGGTTTTGCATATCAGGGTACCTTAAGACCCCAATGTCAATTATGGTCTTCTCGTGATGCTCATGCTTGGCAAAGAAAGTTTCAAAGCTGTTAATGGTCGCCCCTGACTGAGCAACAATGCGCCCAAGAACTTCAATGTCGATCTTGGTTGATTTCAGGACGTCCTCATCTGCAATGAGATTCACAAACCAGGTCTGAACCTGTGACGAGAGAACCGCAAAGGTTAATAGAGCTCTTCTATAATACATAACTTCTATTACCGCTCTCACAATAGCTGCATCCGGTGACCCGTCAAACTTGAAGTCGTTAGAGCTTTTGTTCAGAAACTTGTCAGCTCTGCTAACCCCATCGCCCATTGGCTCAACCAGGGGGTTTTGCATGAACATGGAGTTGACCTTCTCCCAAGTTCGCTCTTCTGGTGGCACTTTGGCGAGAAGAGTGGTGGTTCCCGAGATGCAAACCTTGAGAACCTCATCCATCTTCTTCACTGTTTCTGCATTCAATGCCCCAAACGATGGTGCCAGGTTGGTGTGGAGGTAATCCTCAGCACTCTTGGAACGCACATCAATCTGGAGCATTCCACAAGGACTTAAGCACTGCTTTGGGCAAGACAGGTTCCACTTTACCTTGCTGAAATCAAAATTCCCCACAATGTCACCAATCTCCTTCAATGAACCGAAGGCTCCCTTCATTGTCGCCATGGTTGCCATTGCAGCTCACCTTGAGAAGAGGTAAGAAGACTCAATTTTTATAATGGGGTAAATGAGGTAGTTTAGTGCAGAAAACATGTTTATACCAAAATGAAGTATAGCTTGACTCATCGCAGCACGTGCTGCATGACTTTGTCATACATATACCTTCAAAAATGCAGTATACCCGGTCTAAAAACAAAACGTGATTAGGTGGATTGAGCGTTCTGATGAATTAGTTTAGTGCAGAACACGAGTTCGGTGCAGGAAACGCATTTACACCAAACGCGTTCGGTGCAGAAAACGCCAACCCTCCTTCGGTACAGTAGTCTACATGACTTTGAAAAAAATCAGGTATCGTTTCATATTCTTTACGCATATGCTTTTAGGGCATGATAAACTACCGTACATTGCTAATCGCCGGCCGAGATCCCTGCATCGGCGACGTAGACTTGCTCATCTTCCTCGTCCCCACGCAAGAACAAGATTGAGTTCAAAGCATATTCTAAGGATAGGCAATCTACGTCAGCCCTAATTCTTCTATGGCATATTCTAGGTATTTTTTCAGATTAACTCGCAAGATCCACTTGTGTTCGAGAAGGTCTGCTCAAGAGAAAATCGATGAACTCCAAGCAGTCCTTGCTCTTTGGTTCGACTTCAGTAGACTGGAGCACAAGTCCGAGTTGATTGAAGTCGGATTGAATTGTGTAACGCCAGTTGGACTCCAGCATTGTCGCGATCCAGCCTTTAAATCGAAACGCTGGCACGTACTTCTCTTTAATTCTCTTTCGAGTACACATGATCCTGTGCACCAAGCCCGAATGTTTATAAACAAGGATGAGACAGACACTAAGATCAAAAGACAGAAGGAAAGAAAGTTGAGAAAGCTTGCTTTCAATCCTCACAAAACTCCATACGCCATGTTGCGCATGTCCTCCCTGTTGTCAGGCTATTTCTTCGCACAGAGCGGTAGAGTTTCCACCTTGTAGACCGCCTTCATCGCCTTGATCACTTCCTTGCTCTTGGTGACCGTCGCCAATCTCCCTCCTGCTGCCATTGCTGCTGCTACTGTCTGATGAAGAAGATCGTTCTGATGATTCCGAGATATCAGAAGAGCACGTGCGCTTCGGGACGGCCTCGCGCATGAGTTCTACCTCCTTGGACTCAAGTGTAGGCCCGAACATGCTACTGATCATATGTCCCCCATCTTCTATGGCAGCCATGTAAGCAGCCTCGAGACCGGCAAGACAGACCTCGTGCTCAGCAGAATACGCTTCGAAGTCTACGATTCTCTTCACGCATGAGCTTGATTTCGCAGTGACCATGGGGAACAAACGTATCAAGTGGAGGCCTGAAATGATCTAGTCAGTACCGAATTGGTGCGAGCTTGTTCATCACTCACGGGGTTTCAGCGGCCACGCTCACATCCATTCATAGCAACAAGAAGTAGAGCTTGCTTAGTCACATCCAGCACGTCAGTCACTGGCGTGAGGACTCCCTGCGCCAAAAGAACGTTAGAAAACAGAGTTTTCTCAGTGAATCACGTATGCTTCTTGCTTAGAGCATGAAAAACTGGCCGAACTGGCCTATAGCTGCGTAGCATATCACAATCTTGAGCTTCCGATACTTTGCCCCTGGCCCATGATGATACTGTGCGGCTGATTCAACTTGCTGAAGAACTTCCATCATGGAAGTTCCATGGTGACTCCTTTGGTAGCACTCTTCGATAAGTGTTTGGGCAGCACAATCCCTCAGCAGGTGTCCCAGATTTGCTGGAACTGCATTGCCATTGCATTGTAGTACCACTAAGAAATCAAGCCTCAGTCGCTGTTAAAATTTTATCCTTTACACTTTATACTAATTGGCTAAAGGGGTGATTATTTGATTATAAGGCCTTTTTTTATCTTATTATCCTGTCTAACAATCCAGGTCAATTGGCCTGCAACTGTGTAACATATTACAATCTTGAGCTTCCAATACTTTGCCCCCGGCCCATGATGATATTGCATGGCCGATTCGACTTGCTGAAGAACTTCCATCATGGAAGTTCCATGATGACTCCTTCAGTAGCGCTCTTCGATAAGCATTTGGGCAGCACAATCTCTCAAAAGTCGGATAGAAAAGATTTCATGTCGTCGCGCCCACAGATGATATTGAGCAGGCTTTCAATGTTAATAGCTTAGTCTCTGGCTCTATGCCACATAGGCAGGTTCTGTTCCTCTGTACCTAGGGTGTAATAGATCAAGATGCTCTTTAGCAGTATCATCATGGTATCAGAGCTGTGAATGGTAGAGCTTCCTGCAATCTCCGGCACTGTATCAATCGCAAGAGATTGTTGCATGTTCGCAGTCACATGGCGAGCAACAGCAGTGGTGCCATTGTGGAGTAGCGCCTTATCCCTGCCTACAAGGGCATGTTCCTGAGAGAGAATTCGCACAAATCAGAGGTATTTCAAGGAGAAACTAATGAGTTTGGGAAAGCCAACCATGGATGCTTTGCTGTTAGCTCTCTCAATCCTCTGAGTGACGCTGGCTCTCGCGGATAAACGCTCGTCTCGAGGAGATACTGCGTCAATGGAGAAAATCTAGAGATCAGAGCATTTGGAAAATTGGAAGTACCTGATAGAGAGCGTCGCTCTTGAGGAGGCTCTTGTGACCAAGAGTTTGGTGTTTGCTAGCTTCGTCCTTTGCTTTGCCATTAGAAGAACTCCCGTTTGCATGCCCGTTTTCCAGCACTGCTCCCACATTTCCATTTGCAGTGGCATGAGTTGAAGGCTTCGATTTCGCTTGTCCATTGGGAATCATGGGAGTAGCAACGCCATCGCTAAACTCCACGCTCACCATAATGTGCACGGAGAACCAAGAAAACTCCTACAGACTGTGATGTAATTGGCTTCCACCTTTCACATTCAGTTCCGTACTCTCAAGCACGTCAAGTCTGGAAGACACAGAGAAAACTCTTGCACAGAAACTAGCCGCTGCTGCTGCTGCCACTCAAAGATCAAATCAATCAGTCACCATTCACGAGAGAAGAGAAAAAGAGAAGCAGACCTGTCAAATGGAACAACTTGAGAGTTGGGCTCGCCAGATGCTCCCTAAAACAAGGAAAATATGCCTCGCGATGCGGTATAAAGTACACAGGAGGAGTTTGCAGATCACCAATCCCTGTAACACAGTGGCACAGCGTGGGATGGCTGCCCGGAGCGATTGGAGGTGCTCAAGGGCTATGGCTGCGTGGGACTGGGGGGGAAGCTCTACGTTCTTGGAGGAACGCAGGAGAGGGATTTTGGCGGCGGCTGCCACAGGGATCTCCGCGTGAGGAGCGAGGTGCTGGCCTACGATTGCATCGGCGGGCGGTGGAAGCAGTGCGCGAGCATGCGCAAGGCGCGAGTGGATTTCGCGTGTAGCGTCTCCGGCGGGCGGGTTTTCGTGGTGTGGATCGATGGGAGGAGCTCCCAGACATTCAAGAGTTCTTGAGGATTTTAGGTGGGAAAGTCTCTTCGATCTACCGATCCGGCGACCAGCTCAATCACTTCGATCGATGTGTACGACGAGCGGCTCAAGATGTGGAAAACGATCCGGGGCTCCAACCCGGGGAGGATATCAAGTGCACGGAGCTCAAGAAAACCCTAGCTAAGTGCTAATCTAAATACGCTTTCTAATTAGCCCAGAAAATATAGTTTAATCTCCACCTTTTACCCACCCTAAAATCTAGAATGTCTAGTCAAAATCAATCAATCCATAACAAGATTTCAAATTTTACTATAAATTGGTAAATTACCACAACATAAATGGGTAGTGAAACTTTATGACATTCTCCATGTGCAATCATATATTCATTGCAATACATCTTTGGATATTCAGTGGTTTTTGGATTTCTTATGTGGATGAATTTATTTTATTGCCATTCCATTTTTGCACAAGTATATAACAAATTTTTCATATTTACAAAAAATTTGTAATCCACTTCATATAACTCAATCATAGATTTTAGGTGAATGGTGCACATGAAACAATAAAATCCATCTGAAAACAAAGAAAAAAATGAGAAAGATGGAGCTTTAGTTTTTTAGGTTGACTAAAAGGAGTTGCTTTGTTTGTTACTACTTTAGTTTTACTTTATCCTCTTGACTAATGGTTTAGCTTGCTTTAAAGATGTATTATATTTATCTTCTCATTATTCAAATTTTTTTGTTAGATAAATAAGTTCTTCTGGTTTAAATTGAAAGATATTAATATTTTTATCTAGAATCTTCAAATTATTGTATACTATTACCATAAATGCTTAATTGTTTGGAATTTTATCAAGTATACTTATCATCAATAATAAAAGTTTCTCCTATGTAGTTTTAATAGATTTCATCTCTTATATATAAAGTTTTGAATTTAGAATTTTTAGGATGTCACTTAACCCAATACTATTAAAACTTAAATATGTTTAATCTTAAATATCCCAAAACCTTTAATCAATTAAAAAAAGGCTCTTGTTATGGGCCTTTTCCCTTTATATTTAAACCCTTATAGATTATTTCTTAAATTGTTTCCTTTAGTTACTTATATTATACTCTAATATTTTGTACTCTTAATTTTGATATATATATATATATATATATATATATATATATATATATATATATATATATATATATATATATATATATTATTCATATGTTAGAAATTCTTCATTTGTCAAAACAAAGATATTAGATTCTATGAGTGCTTGGAATATAAAAAGGGAATACAAAAAATGTGCATATCAATTAGCCCAAAAACCTTAGCTTATATATAAAAGTGAATGGTTTGGATTAAAACCAATTCAACGGTTACCAAAATCCCACTACGCTAATATTAGTATATGGTATCGTAGCCGTACACTCGAACTTCACATCATCCCCTTGTAAGGAACCGACTCCCCAAAACGATGGGCTTACTCAAGAGAAAGTACCATTGGCCAGATATGGCTAAGGACGTCCAAGACTATGTAAAGACATGTCCAACATGTCAGTAGGTAAAAGCCGTGACTAAGGCTGGTGGGGGCTTGTTGCAAAGCATCCCAA